CTATGCTGTGTCCTAGGGAGTCCTGGGCACAGAGGTGTTTCTGTGCTGAGAAAAGGTGCTGCTTACAGGTGTGTGGAGCATGGTAAGCACTGCTGCAGGGGAGAAGGGCATGGTACAATATTAATTGCACAGAGATAACACATGAGATATAAAACCGGATCCTGGCAGATATCCAGTCTGCCTGGCAGCCACATGGACCCAGAGTCCTCTAAGTACACGCTATTAACTGTAACTGACCAATCCCATATGGGTGTGTGTGGCCCTGGGGTATCAATGCGGGTGCATGGGAGTGGGGGAACAGATGGTCTAGACAGCATCCAGATGCTACCAATATAGACCAAGCAAGTATGCCCTAGACATTCTTTGTGGACTTGTTTCGTGCTGTTTTGCTTTGATTCAGGGTCTCTCACTATATAGCCACGACTAGTGTGGAACTTGCAGTATAGCCCAGGCTATCCTCAAACTCCCAATGATTCTTCAATCTTTATTCCAAAGTTCTAGAATTATAGGTGTGCACTACTATTCCCAGGTAATAGTCTTCCCTTTAAGGAACAAGGGCAATCTGGGGAGACAGATCTAAAGGTCATCTAGTCATGAGGATCTGAGTTTGAATCCCAAGAACCCAGGTAAAGCCAGAACTGTATCATGAGCATCTGTAATTGCAACACTCCTATGGGGAGTTGCAAAGTGAAGACAGGAGAGTTCCCAGGAGTGCAGAGACCTGCTGACCTGGTGTTTGCAGCAAAAAGCCAACAGAGAGATCTTGTGTCAAACAAGGTAGAAGGTGAAGAATGATATCTGAGGTTATATATACACAGATACACACAAACACACACACAATACACATGCATACATAAACACACAGATATATATACAGTCATACATGTACACATATACATACACGCATATGCACACATTATAATACACATATACATAAACATATATACACATACGTATATACATACATACATACATATATACACTGTGAGGGCTAAAGTTATGTTTTAAGTTTAATTACTATGTATACAAGATTTATAAAACAAAAATGCCTCTAAACTGTAAGTTCTACTTGCCCAAGGACAGATAACTTCCTGGAATGCTGGGAGCTATTATTCCTGTAAGATAACAAGTCTCTTGTTTTTTACTTCTGTTGACAAGGTTAGGTTGCCCTAACTGTACAGGATGTACTTGATCACATGTAGGTGGGAATTATGTAGGCAGGAAGTACGTCAGGATGTATGCTTGCCCCTGATTGGGTGATAGTGGGAAGGACTTAGCCCTGTAGGGTTTGCCTCTGTAAGTACCAGACTAATATAATTTGTGGCCATTCTCTGGGAATCCCAAGTATGAATACAGTGTCCATCATCCTGGCCAATATTTAATAAAGCTCCAGACTGGCCCAGAAATTGTGGTAGTGGTCTTATTCTCACCTGGTGGAATTAACATTTTCTGGAGGCCCCCAATAAGATCAGACCACACACCCAAATTCTCAAGTTGGACCTTCACTACAGGGTTGCAAGGCTGAAGGGTTGCACCAGAACGCGCGTGCCTTGAGACATTCCAAGGCTCCTAGGCATACCTTTGATTTCGTGGACTTTGAACTGCCATGCTGAGAAAAGCAGCAAGTATCTATGGAGGCCTCCCCTGGTAAATCATAGCCTGTTTCTGTTCTGTGGGATCCCGATCTGGGATGTGGATGGGCTTGAGGGAACCCAAATACTCCCCCTTCCAAGACAAGAAGCGGGATGTTGTCCACCCACCTGGTTAGGTCTGCCATCTGATTTCCCTTAGCCACAGCATCTTGAGCTTTTTGGTGTCCTGGACAATGTATGATGGCTACCTTCTTTGGCAAATGTATGGCCACAAGGAGGCTCAAAATTTCTTCTTTATTTTTTATGTCTTTTCCTGCAGATGCCAACAGTCCTCTTTGTCTGTATATTGCTCCGTGTATATGGGCAGTGGCAAAAGCATACTTGCTGTCAGTGTAGATGTTGATAGACTTCCCCTCTGCCATCCGTAGAGCTTGTATCAAAGCTACAAGTTTGGCTTTCCGGACCGACGTCCCTTCAGGGAGGCTGCTGGTCCAGATTACTCGCTTCCCATCCACCACTGTTGCCCCCGTCTTTTGCTTACCTTCAACCACGAAACTGCTGCTGTCCGTCCGTCTACCAGCTCGGATTCCCAGGCCAAGGCTGATCCTTCAGATCATTTCGGGTACCAGCTTCTTTTGCCAAAATGTCTGCGCAATGATGGGTAGGTGAGGAGTCATCAGTCTCGGGCAGTAGGGTAACGGGATTGAGGACAGCAGGGGGAGTGAAGGTCACTCGTTTGGTCAACAAAAGGCTTTGATCACCTCCGGCCTGGTTCGAGTAAACCTGATCTAGGCCTTCAACCTTTATAATAAAGGCGGGGGACACTCAGGGATAACCAGGAAGGAATTAGTCACTTGTCCTCTCCCCAAATCTACAGTTCGTAAGGTGGTCCACAGATACTGTTGCTCCAATTACTATAGTCTTTGTATTCTTTAGCTTCCACAACGTTTGTTTCAGCACAGAGTGCTCAGCCCCTGTGTCCACTAGAAAATCCATAGGGGTCCCCTCCACAGTCAGGGTTACCCTAGGCACAGGGGGAGGGGGTCCGAGTCCTGTCCCCTCTAATCATCTTCTTCTAGGGCCAGTACCTTAGAGGCCCTTCCTTTCTTCTTTGGGCATTCTCTTGCCCAATGTCCTTTTTCTTTGCAATAAGCACATTGGTCTTTGTCCAAGAGGTGCCTCTGTCCATCTTCACTCATCTTTGGTCTTCTGTTGCCCAGGTTCCCTATCTGTCTAGGTCCTGTCTTTTCTTTCTCTCCTACCACTGTGGCTAAAATTCTAGTCAAATTTCTCTCTTGTCTATGATTCCTCCTGTCCTCTCTTTCCTCTGCCCCCCCCTCTTCTCTTCCTCTGTCTCTTGCTTATGAAACACTTTCTCTGCTTCCTTAACCAAATCCTGCAAGGTATGATCCTGCAACCCTTCTAATTGCTGTAACTTTTTCTTAATATCTGATGCTTTGGGGGTGACTACCATGCCTGTTCAATGTAAGGTCAGTCCCCCAAGTTCCTCCTCTACAGGAAAATTTCTCAGCCCTAAGTCTGGTAGCAGAAGGCTGTGTTGCTGTGTGTGGCAGCTGAAGATTAAACGTTGTCCTACATGCCAGCCAGAGACTGACCACTGCCCCCAACGAAGCCATCAAGACCACCAGAGCCTAGAGAAACCACTTCGACAGTGGGTAAGTCTCTGTCATTTAATTGATATACAGACTATTTGGATTATACCTCCTGGTAAAATTTATTCTCAGATCTCTGAGGGCATTGACGGCTAGACTAACTGTAGATTCATCATTTAACAGCTCCCCAAGGCTGCAGGCACCTTGTTAGTTCATTTCATATGCAAAAACCAGGACTTGCTTTTTCTAGAGCTACTAGGTCTCCTGTTGAGAAAGGAAGACAGGTTTGCCTTGCTAACAGGCTTCATATTAAAGAATCTACTTTTTATTAATGATTTAAAAAGATAAACAGATGAAACTTTTTACTATTCCTTTCTTTAAAAGAACTTGCTTTGCAATGACTGCTCTCTGTAATAAACACTTGTGTCTTAGGTAAATGATTAGATGGGAAGAAAAAGGTTTTAAGTTTATGTACGTTCTAGGGGTCTAAGACAGTATTTTAAGGCATATAAATGTAAATTGTAAAGGCATAGGAAAGTGAATTAGGGTAATAAAAATGTTTCAGTTTCCTTTCTCCTCTATGCTATTTTCTTACTAAGATTTCAAGTTCAGAGTTTTAACACTCATCAATGGAGTTCCGATCAACTTGTAAAGCACTGACTACTATTATCAGCCACAAGCTCAAGATTCTAAATTTCCTTTTGTTATTGTCTAAATATAGACTTAACAGTGCTTCTCATTGGGCTGAAAACATCTCTGGACAATGAAAAGAATGTTTGTTTTTAAGCACAAAATCACAGCTTTTGCTATGACTTGAAAGCTACAGACACACCTGTTAACTGCTTTTTCTACAATGTGGATTTCAGTACGGATTAAAAATAGTGGTAACGCTAATATACCTAAAACTTTTATCTCTTTTTGTAAACTAAAAATATTTATGTAAGCTTCAGGGAATTGAGGGAGTCATAAGACTTGGATCTACCTCTCACAGGTCAAATGGATTCCAAGTAAGTATAGACTAAGTTTCCCCACCTCCCCATTCCTGTGTGTGTGTGTGTGTGTGTGATATTCTCTCTCTCTCTCTCTCTCTCTCTCTCTCTCTCTCTTTCTCTCTGCCCTGGTATTGGGACTCCTCCCTTCCCCCAACTACCAGGATAATAGACCTGAAAGTTCCAAATGTAAGAATTTCCTTTTTTTTCTTTCTTTTTTTCTTTTTTGAGACAGGTTCCAGGTGCCTGTCCTGGAACCAGCTCTTGTAAACCAGGCTGACCTTGAACTTACAGAGATCCATCTGCCTCTGCCTCCCAAGTGCTGGGATTAGGGGCGTGCGTGTGCCACCACTGCCTGGCAAGAATTTTCTTAACATTCCTAAACTTTAACTTCTGTCCCTGTTCTATATCGGTCTCAGCAGATTTCTATTTGGCTGACAGACGCTATCCAAGGATCAGTGCTGACTACAAACTGTTCCAAATGGCCGAGAGCCCTGACCTTGCTCAAAACTGATGTGAACCAGTCCACACAGAACATATATGCATGGGCTGGAGAGATGGCTCAGAGGTTAAGAGCATTGCCTGCTCTTCCAAAGGTCCTGAGTTCAATTCCCAGCAACCACATGGTGGCTCACAACCATCTGTAATGAGGTCTGGTGCCCTCTTCTGACCTGTAGTCATACACACAGACAGAATATTGTATACATAATAAATAAATATTAAAAAAAAGAACATATATGCATGAACACAAACATGTACTAACGCAGTCATGCACTTATACACAAGTGTGCAAGGTTTTAATTAAGGTGTTCGCTTTGGCGGCACATACACTAAAATTAGAACAATACAGAGATTAGCATGGCCCTTGTGCAAGGATGACATGCAAATTCATGAAAAAAAAAAGTGATGTCATTGCTCGCTATCTCGTCAGCCGGGCCAGTGAACCAGATACTTCTGATGAATGCTGAACTACCTCAGTCCCCTACTGGCTCTCCTGGGCCCCGACAATAATGTCTTAATTTCAGGAGGAAGTAATTCCTGAGAGTATGTCACCCCTTATCTTCAACAGGCTGGAATAGACACTCCCTGGCATGGGAGACAAAATGGTTAATGCCTTAACTAGACGCATAAATTCTTATCCTGGGTGCCATCAAGGTGATGGTTATAAGATCCTAACATAAACAGGTACTCACCACAGAGTCAAGGTTTGACTCAGGATACAACTCAAGGAAGGAATGTGAGGAGGGCTAAAGTTATGTTTTAAATTTTAATTACTGAACTTAAGAGGTAAAAATATAAAGCAAAACGCTCTGGGAATCGCAAAGTTATAAAGTTAGAATTTCCCAGGGTCATAAAGCAGATAAGAGTTATTCCAAGTGGCACTGTCAGCTTTTTTGTGGCCCCAGAGAAGCATGACTAAAAAGACATCCGGGAAGCACAAAGAGGCAAAAGAAGCTGATTTAGGAAGCTTAAAATTCTAAGAGGGAGAAGGGGAGTTCTTGCATTATACTCCATTCCTAGGTTAAAATCCTGTATCGATAAATCGAGGTAAGAGTAGGTGCAGGGGGTTTAATGGCCCTTTTAGGGTTAGAGCTGGGGGTCCACTGAGATTAGCGTTTTCTCAAGTCAGCTGCAGGAGAATTTGGGACATCCAGTCTCCTTATCAGGGAGGACTAGGAGTCAAACAAGCTCGAACATGCCATACCCCCTTATCTCTGAAGGTCCCAAATGTGACCTCTGTGAAAGACTCCTTTCCTGACCATATGTCCTACCCCATGGGGGATAACTGCAGGGAGCCAGCTCATAATGTTTATCTTGGAATGGAGCAGAGATTAGACCATGGGAACCAAGATTCTTGACTAGTGACTAAATTCTCTCACTGGAGGTCCCACATCCCCACAGGTCCCGATTGGAAGTTGCCCAATGAGCAAAAGATCAGGGCAGCCTTTTACATGTCCACAGACCTTGAGGAACAAATAGACCCAGTTAGGAAACATGTCCCAGTATGTATTTTATATATCAAAGCCATATAGCTATAGAAATGGCCATCTTCCTGATCACCCATACATATATGTGCCCATAAGATCGAGATGCAATCATGAGATTACATACACACATCACATGAGATTACACACTACAATGGAGATACCAAGTTACCTTAGCCAAAGTGAGCAGCAGTTTCCAGAGCCGATGGCCCTGCAAACCTTGTCTGGACAGGATTAACCTCCAGCAGAGGACCATTCCTCTGGTGGGCTGACATCTGAACACTAGCTGTCACCTGCCTTAACCCTTAACCCTCATGGCTCCTGACACACACACACACAAAACATACACATAGATATACGCATGCACAATATCCATACACATAAACACACACATAAGCATATACACACATATGCATTTATATACACACACATCTAAACCCATAACATATGCATACATAAACACATACACATATATGCATGCACACATATATGCACAAACACATTCATGCACACATACTCAAATATACAAGATTTTAATTAAAGTGTCCACTTCGACAGCACATATACTAAAATTGAAATGACAGAGAAGATTAGCATGGCCCCTGCAAAAGGATGACACGCAAGTTCATGAAGGGTTCCATATTTTTATTTCTGTTAATATTTAAAACATTTGCGTGGGAGGAAAACTCTCTTTGTGATATTGTGATACTGCAGGTTGATAGAACGTTTGTTGTAAGACATAAAAGCAGCTGTTAACTTTGTGGTCTCAAGTGTTTAGCTGCTGCGCTGGATTCCTTAGTAGACCAAATAATTTGTCACTTGGAAATGTTCTGAGATATAGCTTCATATTTAAAAGGAAAAAAATTAAGATGGCTCAAGTTTCATCCTAAACTTTTCCATCCCCTGTAGTTAATTCTGCATGTATTAGTCTTAGAAGTAACTACACAAGCTAAAACAACGGAGGGATTCCCCAGGTGGCTTGTCTTCCAAAGTACACAGAACAAAAAACAAAACCCCAAGCTTCCCTAGGTCTTGTCACTCAGCAAGGCTTGGGAACGGACGTACAATACCCAGTCCCATTCTGTTTAAAAGGTAAATACAGAAGAGACAAAAAGAAAACAAAAGATTTTTAAATAAGAAAAACAGAACAAACCTAAATTCCAGAAAGACATCTTAAACCTGTGCCCTTGGCTTTGGGCAGGAGTGAGCCTGGACTGTGAGGTGTAATTGCTGTGAAGCACACTCGTCTACAGGAAGGCCCACATCACATATGTATATGTGCTTTGCATGGGAATTTGGTGAGATAAACTTTGTATGTGTGTGGGTTAAGGCTCAGATCTGCCAGGACTCTTCTAAGACCCCCCCTTTCCCAGCCCCCACAAACTAAGCTTGTATAAAACAGCCATATAATCTGAAGAAGGCTAGCCACGCCAGTCCCTCTGGCCTGCCACTTGAAAAGTGTTTGCAAGCCAAGTGTCTGGAACTGATATTTGTGGATGTGGTGATAGATACTTATAATATGGGCACTTGGGAGGTGTAGGCAGGAAAATCAGGAATTCAAAGAGTTCAAGACCAGCCTTGAATACATGGGGAGTGTAGCTACCCTGGGCTACTATGGAACCCTGTCTCAAAAATAAGTAAGTAAATAAATATATAAGCTCAGAGGGGGAGGTGGCTCAGATCTTTAAGCCCAGTACCGAGGAAGCAGAAGTAGGTGGATCTCTGCGAGTTCAGGGCCAGCCAGGGTTACATCGTGAGATCTTGTCTCAAGAAAAAAAAAGTAAGAAGGAAGTTGGGGAGGGACTTGCAGAGTTGCTAGAACAGGGTTCTGAGGTTAGCTAAGGTATATTGTAAAGAGTGAGTTCAGGGTTGTTTGTTATTTTGAGACAAGGTCTCGTACTAGCTTCAAACTCTCAGTCCTCCTGCCTCAGCCTTCCAGGTACTGGGATGATAGCTGTGTGCCACCAAACCTGGCTGCAACAAGGTTTTAAGCAAAGATCAATTTAAGGAAAAATAATGTTATTCTTATTGTGGTGGTGCATGCGGACGGAGGAACGTGACACATGACTGACAGACCCACAAGAGCCACGACTAGGGTTCAGAATACAAGTCAGTGGTGGAGAAACTGACTTGCACACGCGAGGCCGAGTTCAATCTCCAGTACCACACATGCACACGCACGCACCTGCACAGCCTGGTGTGATGGTGCATTCCTATAATCCCAGCACTTGGGAACTGGAGGCAGGAGGATCAGGAGTTCAAGGCTAGCCTTCTCTACATGAGAACCTGTCTCAAAAGCCAAAATGAGGACTGGAGGAAGAGCACTGACTGTTCTTATAGATGATCTGGGTTCTGTTCCTAGACGCACATAGTGGCTCATAACTCCAGTTCCAGGGCATCTATTGTCTTCCTCTGGCCTCCCTGGGCACGGGGTGCACATGTATGCATGAGAGCAGACACTCATACACATAAGTTCTTTTTTTTTCTTTATGGAAAATTTATTGCAATATACCAAAAGCACATCACTTTTTCTTTTCAACATCCTGCTCTGCAGCTTCCTTTCCCCTCTTTACTCGGATGCCAAAGAGCCGGGCATTGGCCCGGGCCATGCAAAGACTGGCAAAAGCCTTGAAGTTCTTCTCTTCTTCAGTGATGACGCTGGCTTTCTCCTTTTTATAAACATTCCGGATGGGCATCACGGGTCCTGTTAGCTGAGTGGCCAATTTAAGTTCTTCAGCCAAACTATCTCCCTTCTTTGGAGCCGAAGGCTTTCTGGGGAAGAGGATGACCTTGGAGCAGTACTCCTCCAGGCGCTGCTCTTTGGCCTGCAGGGACTCGGTGGACTTGGGTCCACAGAGATGCCGATGGTGTGAGCCACCTTCTTATGGATACCAGCCACCCTGAGTTCCTCCAGGCTGAAGCCCCTGCCAGCTCGGACCTTGGTGTGGTAGCACACTGTGGGGCACCTCACGATGAGCCTGATGGGTTCGGACGCGGGGCGCGGGGCAATGCGGCACGCTTTTGCCTGCCGGGCCTTGCGCCTGTGGATCTTGCCTGCCGGCTGGCTGAACCAAGTATCCACTCGCTGCTGCCAGTCCTTGTGGAAGTGGGGCTTCAAGATCATGCCATTCCGGCTGTGCGCCGTGGCTGCCTCCCGTGCAGGGAAACGGCAGAGCGGAAAGGCCACATAAGTTCTTTAATCTTAAAAAAACAAAAACAAGAAACAAAACCAGACAAGCAAAAACCAATCTTCTTCAAGTCTTCCTGTTCTCTTTGTGCTTTGCTGGGGATGGAATCCAAGGCTCTGAAACACGAGGCAAGCAGACATTCTACCACTGAGGCAAACTCCAGCCTTACTCCAGTTCGATGGGGATACTGAGGTACTGAGATGGCAGGGGACTCTCTCAAGGTCCCTTGTACGGCTTGGGATGAGTTCTGGAAGCCTTTCACAGAAAGTGCCCAGCTAGAGACTTGAAAACCACATGAGTTTGCTCTTTCATCTGAAAGAGGTTAGACGTTGGCGAGTTAGGGCCAGGGAGGCAGCTCCACCATCATGGGAGTTCCAGCTCCTTTTCCTGTATCTTATACCATTTTGAGTTTGTTACTTCATGAGCTAAAGTAGTTGATGGAGCCTGCACCATCACACCCATATCCATTGTAACTATGATGCTTGTTCATTTGAACTCTATTAGCCACACCCCCAACACCCACCCTCACGGCGTCAACACCATCAGAATACAGGGTGCCAGAATCTAGCGCTCTCTCTCTCTCTCTCTCTCTCTCTCTCTCTCTCTCTCTCTCTCTCTCACACACACACACACACACACACACACACACACACACACACACACGGCCTCGTGAAGCCCAGGCTGGTTTCAAACTCTGTAAGTTTCTGATCCTTCTGCCTCTCCCTCCTGAGGGCTAAGATTACGGGGTGGGTGCACCACCACCTGCACCTGTGTATTTAATTCTAGGGATGAAACCCAGGGCTTCATGCATGACAGGCAAGCACGCTACCAAATGAGCCCCAGGCCAGCTGTAAAACATCTACAAACTGTAAATCCTGTGAACAGGACCTGGCCACTGGGGTGGGGCTTACTGAGCCTTTCTCCCCTGGTGGAGCTCTTCTCTCTGCAGGGAGGCACAGTGACAGCAGACTGGTGTTTACACAGAGGTCACACCTGCCCTGCTTGAAGCCCTCGCCTGCCACCTGCCGGAACTGCTCCCTCCACATCACTGGCCTATAGTCCCCCTGCGTGTCCTGTAGCTGTTCCCAGGAAAGGAGCTAGTGTCGTTCTGATGCCAGGTTGCATTCTGAGCAGCAGTGGGCACAGATTTTTCCATTTGAGATTTTTCACATTTCAAGTGAAGCCCCCAGCAGCCCTGTAGAGTCCAATAATTGACAAGTCCAAGAATCAGAGAACCCCTGGGCAGGCGGTGAGCGGCAGAATCAGGAGGCAAACGGGGCAGCCTGATGCCTAAGTCTGTGACTGCCCTGGCCATCATCAACTATTACCTACCGGGATGGCTTAGAGGAGGTTCTCAGAGCAACCAGTCACTTGGCTGCCCAGCTGCTCCTGCAGAGCTCATGCATTTGCAGCTGGCTGCACTATCCTGACAGCAGGGGTCTGGCTTGCACCTTTACAATCTGGGCAGGCATTGGGTCCCTGCTCTACTCGGCACCAGAGTGGAAGTACCAGTTCAGAGCAGGGTGGATCAGAACTCAGTTTCTGCAGTTGGCAAGCCCCATGTCCCAGTAAGAGATCATGCCTCATAAAACAAAATGAATATCTCTTAAGGAAGGATACCTGAGGCTGACTTCTGTATAGTGTACCTACAAACACATGAAAATACACATATACTTACACACACAGAGAGAAAAAAATTCAAGGGATGTAGCCAGACATGGTGGCACAGACCTATAATCTCAGGATCAGGTTCTGACATTGAACCATCCTTGCATTCCAGGAACAAATTAAAGATTAGCAAAGAATCTTTTAATATTATAAATTTAGTTGGCATCTCACTTGGCAGTGGTGGCACACACCTTTAATCCCAGCACTTGGAAGGAAGAGGCAGCTGGATCTCTGTGAGTTTCAGGCTAGCCTGGGCTAAAGATCCAGTTCAAAGACAACCAGGACTACACAGAGTAGTCTTGTGTACAAAGAAAACCTGTCTCAAAAAAAATTAGTTGCTATCTCATTAAGGATTTGTCATCGTTATCTTCATCATCACCACCATCATCATTGCATGGAGGGGGTGTGCATGTGGAAGCCAGAGGAAAATTCTGTGGAGTCATTTCTTTGTCTCTACTTTTACATACAAGAGTTTTTTTTTTTTTACGTATAGAAACTTTATTGACTTCACAATAAAACATTCAGACAAAATGTTCCATACTCCAAAAATCTAACATACCTCACACTGTCCAAAAACTACAGTTTTAACAGGTAGGCTTGATTTTGTTTTTATTTATTTAAGATTTCTGCCTCCTCCCCGCCACCGCCTCCCATTTCCCTCCCCCTCCCCCGATCAAGTCCCCCTCCCTCATCAGCTCGAAGAGCAATCAGGGTTCCCTGACCTGTGGGAAGTCCAAGGACCACCCACCTCCATCCAGGTCTAGTAAGGTGAGCATCCAAACTGCCTAGGCTCCCCCAAAGCCAGTACGTGCAGTAGGATCAAAAACCCGTTGCCATTGTTCTTGAGTTCTCAGTAGTCCTCATTGTCCGCTATGTTCAGCAAGTCCGGTTTTATCCCATGCTTTTTCAGACCCAGGCCAGCTGGCCTTAGTGGGTTCCCGATAGAACATCCCCATCCTAGAGAAGCTAAATAAGAAGGTGAATCCAAAGACAAACATATAGGCATCCTCCTGAATATTAACCTTCATCAGGCGATGAAAGGAGACAGAGACAGAGACCCACATTGGAGCACTGGATAGAAATCTCAAGGTCCAAATCAGGAGCAGGAGAGAGAGCACGAGCAAGGAACTCAGGACCGCGAGAGGTGCACCCACACACTGAGACAATGGGGATGTTCTATCGGGTACATACAAGAGTTCTGACAATCAAATTCAGTTTACCAGGGTTGCAAAGCAAACACCTTTACCTGCTAAGCCATATGATTTTGAAGATTTTCACATTAATGTTTATCATGGGACACTTTTTCTTTTAGTATTTATTATGTATACAATATTCTGTCTGCATGTATGCCTGCAGGCCAGAAGAGGGCCCCATACCTCATTGCAGATGGCTGTGAGCCACCATGTGGTTGCTGGGAATTGAACTCAGACCTTCGGAAGAGCAGCCAGTGCTCTTAACCTCTGAGCTATTTCTTCAGCCCCTCATGGGACATTTTCTAGTTTTTTTTTTTCTGGGGGGGGGAATGATTTTATTTTTTTTTTAATTTATTTTTTTCTCCATGATATTTATTGAGTTCTACATTTTTCTCTGCTCCCCTCCCTGCCTCTCCCCTCCCCACTTCAATCCTCCCCCAAGGTCCCCATGCTCCCAATTTACTCAGATCTTGTCTTTTTCTACTTTCTACTTCCCATGTAGATTAAATCTATGTAAGTCTTTCTTAGTGTCCGTATTGTCTAAGTTCTCTGGGATTGCGGTTTGTAGGCTGGCTTTCTTTGCTTTATGTTTAAAAACCACCTATGAGTGAGTATATGTGATAATTGTCTTTCTGTATCTGGGTTACCTCACTCAAAATGATGTTTTCTAGTTCCATCTATTTTCCTGCAAAATTCAAGATGTCATTTTTTTTTTTTTGCTGTGTAGTACTCCATTGTGTAAATGTACCTCATTTTTTAAAAATCCATTCTTCGGTCGAGGGGCATTTAGGTTGTTTCCAGGTTCTGGCTATGACCAACAAAGCTGCTATGAAGCCCCAGCCCCCCATGGGACATTTTCTAGTTTTTTTTTTTTAATTTGAGCTTTATATCAGTGGGATGTTTACTTTTCATGTGAGTAAGTGCTCTCCACTTTTCAATTTTTCATAAAAGTTTAAGAAAAACTTGAAATGTTTGGGTAGAATTCACATGTTAAGTCAGTAGGTCTAGAATTTTGCCTGGAGGTGACCAATTTAATCTCATTACTAGTTTGTAGGTATGTTTGCAAATAAATTACTTTGGTTTAGTCTTAGTGGACTTTGTGTGTGTGGTTCATCCAGTTTATCTCATTTGTTGATATGCATTCATTCTGCCCTACAGTCCTTTTTATTTCTGTAGGGTCAGTAGCAATGTCTCCATGGGTTACTGACATGGGTGCTGAGAATTGAACTCTGGTCCTTGGCAAGAGCAGGATGTGCTCTTAATTAAATACTGAGTCATCTCTCCAGCCCTGAGACACCTGTTCTGAGGTCTAGGTATAGTCAAACTATCTCTCTCTCCTGGAACTTGCTATCTAGCTGACAATGGGCTTGAACTCTTGAACCTCCAGTCCTGGCTGCAGAGCACTTTCTTGCCCTCCTACGCCATCTGCTCACATGGTCCCCAAAAGTCATCTAGACCGGTCAAAACAAACACGAGCCCCAGAAAACCTTGGTAAAACTTTATTCACAAATGCCAGACCATAGGCCTGGCTCAGCCAAGAGGGTGCATTCTTTAGTGGCAAAAACCCTGGTATAACACGTTCATCAAGACTCGCCATTTTAATTTAAATTAAAGCATTTCTGGAAGACAAATGTAATTGATAGAAAATATAAAAACTTTTACTGTACAAATTTTACATCACATTCAAAATAAGCAAATGAACATGTGCCTCGTGGCCACAGAAGACACTGGTAGCACACAGATGACGTCCTGGCTAGCGCCGTAGGATAGCATGGCTAATCCACCCCCACTCTGTCACTACAGAGCTACACAGGCTTGCTGCTCCCTGCCTGGACCATAGGACAATGGCCAAGGACTTTGATTTGGTGCATAGGAGGGGCCAGACCAGCTCTAGCTAGGATTCATGACTTCATGGCCACTCCGATGGGTTAAGGCCTCCTTGGAGGTGAGGCTTGGAACTTGGGATGTCTGGAAAGGGGCCAAAGTTTTTGCTGGACTCAGACCTTAGGTGGGCAGGCCCTCTGCAGCTCATGCCTTTTTTTCTTTCTTTCTCTCTCTCTCTCTCTCTTTTTTTTTTTTTGTTTTTCGAGACAGGGTTTCTCTGCAACTTTGGAGCCTGTCCGGGAACTCGCTCTGTAGACCAAGTTGGCCTCAAACTCACAGAGATCCATCTGCCTCTGCCTCCCGGGTACTGGGATTAAAGGCGTGTGCCACCACCGCCTGGCTTCATGCCTTTTTTTCATTGCCTTCACAGTGGCTATTGGGGCTGAATTCACAGTATCTGTCATCCTTCATGTGTTTCCCAGGAGACAGGGAGAGCACAGAAAAGGCAAACTTTCCTAACCTCAATTCACAGTCACTTAAGTAGAAAAGGAAACAGGGACCATGGTGGGGGACTCTCTTAAACGAAGGGCAGTACAGCAGCAGGCCTTGGAGAGGAAGTGAGGAAGGTTCCAGCACTATAGCTTCACCAGTGGCCCCAGGGTTCCATGATGTCAGGCCCCCTGCATACTGACCCCCAGCAGATGGTCAGCTCCTTAAAGCAGGGACCATGGCTACTCTAACTGGTCCCCAGTGTGTGCACAAGATCACATTCGCTGCAGGGCTCAGTGCTTCTGGCCCTGAGATGTCTATGGTACAGGGTGAGACCCGGTGGGCTGTGTGTGATGCCCTCTGTGGTCTGGTGTTGAGGGATGACTGAAAGGGCTGACTCAGCTGCCAGCCTGATGACTCATGTTCAACTGGTGAGGGGAGGCCAACGCCACACCAGTCACAAAGTGGGAGAATGGCCAGAGGCTCAGTCATTGTGGCCTCTGGGAAGGGACAGCCATGAGACTGCCACAGAGGCAGTAGTTAGACTCTGTGGTTTAGAGTAGGGAGGTCACACCAAGGGTTAGGGTGGAAAGCCAAAGGGACGCGGAAGTGACATGATGGTCCCATTTCAGAGGACAGATGACCCATGCAGAACTGAACAGAGGCTCGCAGCTCTTCCTCCTTCCCACACTGGGGCAGGGTCAAGATGCCACTGTCCCAGCTCTCCTGTAGCATGAACAGCTGTGCTGGGGTGGATGAGGGGAGGCTCCCACAACTTCTCAGACACCTGCACTGGACTCTGGTGCTAGGGCAGGCTCTGACAACTGAGGCTTAGTCGGTGTTTAAGGGGGAGCCACATGGCCACTCCACAGTGGGACTGTAAGCCACTCGAGAATAAGTAGTGATGGCCAGGACTATCCGAGGGTCAGAGGTGTGAGCCCTGGTAACAGCCGTGGAGAGAGAAAAGCAGGTACCCTCCTCCTCTCCTTACCGGTGCCTTCCTGGGACCCTGCAGCAGCTCCCTCAAGGACAGTCACTGCCTGCCAAGGCCTGCCTGCCCTCTCTCCCGGGCCTCACCCAGCCACTGTTATCAGCTGGCTAGCAGGACAACAAATCACCACTTCACTTAGGAATCCTCAGACACTGCTGCTTCTCTCTCAGAGCACCCAAGGCAGACCCAGGAGGCTGGGCTGACCCCTGTGAGGGCCTGAGCTGCCCCGGGAATGTCTGTCTCCTAGAGAGGGGAGTCCTGAGATCTCGGCAGGGCGCTAGGTAGATGACGTCTCCTACCCAGAGCACAGCTTTCTGAGACAGCTCAGAAGAAAGGAGTAGGCACAGGGGTAACTACCGTGATAGCAGGGTAGAGACAGGCTCTTCCTCCTTCCCACACCGGGGCAGGGTCAAGATGCCACTGTCCCAGCTCTCCTGTAGCATGAACAGCTGTGCTGGGGTGGATGAGGGGAGGCTCCCACAACTTCTCAGACACCTGCACTGGACTCTGGTGCTAGGGCAGGCTCTGACAACTGAGCCTTAGTCGGTGTTTAAGGGGGAGCCACATGGCCACTCCACAAAATCTACCCACTTCTCCACGCCCATTTCTTCCCCCTTCTGGTTGTGGAGTCGGATGCTGCCCAACCTCTGCTCAAGGACTGCAACACGTCTGATTCACCCCAATCCCTCCTGCCTGCTGGAATGAACACAAGCACAAGTTTGAGGCTCACGGATAGGGACTTACTAGGTACGTCTCACTCAAGTCTCTCGACAGCCTCAGGCCCCAATCTGAGCTCAGGGCACACACATGGGTCAGAATGGGCTAAAAGGCTTCGATGAGACTGGGAAAGTGGAAGTGGTGGTAGTTCTGGAACCTTCTGGCATGACAGACATGGGTTTTAAAGTGCTAGGGTCACTAGGGTCACTGTAGGCTGTATTTGCCACCTTCACCGTCTTCCTCAACCAAGGACTCACTGGACACGCGGCTGATGGGCTAGCTCTTGGCTCTGGGGGTGAATTGAGGCACTGGGGGGTGTGTGTAATGATGAAGGCTGGGTTCCACAGCCTACGAGCCTGCCTGGAGGCCACAGAGAAGCAGCGAATGTCTCCACAGACGTGTGGTTGTTTCCTCCTGCTGCAGTACAAGCTGAGCTAAGAGCCATCAGATCTGTCCAGAAGCCACCTGGATTCTGTCTGTACTTTTTTAATACAAGCCCGGAGCAGAGCAGAAACTAAATCCAAACTCTTCAGGAACTCCTGACCCCATAGTCCAGATGGGTTCCTGGCCAGGGTTTCCTCTGCAAGTTAAGGAACAGTTGGTGTTCCTTATAGGACAAACAGAGGGACCAGTGGGAGTCAGAGCCAGAGCATAGGCCGGGGCAAGCCTTCTGTCATGTCCTCTTTTCCTAGGATAGTAACATTCATGCTACTTTTCTTCCTTCTTGCTCAACCCTGGGTCCCTCGCTGCTGCAGAATCGTAGAATAGGAAACGTGGGGGCATTTCTCTTGCTCTGAGGTGGCAGCACCCTTCTGCGGAATTATTATTAACTACTGTAAAACACCAAGCTTGCGGGGCAGAAACCTCTGTGTAAACACTGGCTGTAGTGGTGTCGTCTGGAGAGGCGGGTATGGCTCCGATCCTGAGCCCCACGCCCCCCTGTAATGTACATTCTTCACGGAGGAGTCATGCAAAGCTTTTCTGAGTCCTCCTGGTGGCGGTTTGTGTGTTTCGTTATCCTGTTTCAGATAGGAAGACACCCTCTGCACGAATGTGCACGGCCGGCTACATCTTTGGATTACTGGACTCCAGGGCGCCCAGGCCAAACCTTTCAAAGCGGGGCATGACTTTGCTGCTGTTAATGCTGCGGAGAGGAGCAGAGACATGGGTTATGGCTCTGCTGGTTTTGACCAGAGTTAAGATGTTGCTGGCTATGCTTGGCAGAGGATCTGAGTGAGGACAACTGCTCGGCCCATGGCCTTGGCATAGCTGCTCCTGGCCCCTAAGTCCTGGGCGTCGGCCACAGTCCCTACCTGGAGAACAGTGACATGGCCTGTTCACCTGACTCGCCAGCACCCAGCATAACAGCAGCTACTGTGGGACGGAGGGTGTTCCCTCACTGGCTGCTCCGTGTGGATGTGGAGCTGGTGAGAGACCTGAGGACTTGTACTAGGACTGATGTCACACACTCTTTCTAGAAATGGTGTTCAAGTGGGGTCCACTGCGGGGAGCAGAATCAATCCTGAGCCCAACAGAGATCTCTGGTCAGGGTCATGGACCCCCTAGCAGGTGTGAACAGCAGCTCTGCCTCCATTACTGAGTGACAGATATCACTCTGTTTAGGACATTTCTGAGTGTGGCTTCTAAGGACTCAGCCCTTCTGAACTGATGCCGTCCATGGCAACATGATGTGTGTGTGTATGTGTGTGTGCGTGCGCGCGCGCGTGCATGCCTACTGTCCTCTGTCTTCATGAGAGAGACACAGGGCTCCAGACAGGGCCCGTGACCTCAGTGCGAGCTTTGGGCAGCTCTGAACCACTACACCCCTTGCAGGACAATGTCCCTCCCAGGGTTGTCAAGCTCCTTCCCATCCTCTGAGCATGCTCAGCAGGGGCTCGTGAAGGTGTTAGTAGGGGCTAGGGACCAGAGGAACACAAGCAAGAGCCACTCTTAGGAGAGCAGGAGAGAAAAGACCGTCTCATCCACGGAGGCTGTTCTTCCGCCTTGAGGGGTCACCCTGTTAGTGCCATCCTCCCCTGGCAGTGACTCAAGTCAGGTACCCACAGGCCGTATGGAGGGGAGGGGCCGTTGTTAAAAACAGAGCACAAGAAGGAGTCTGGAGGGAGGAGACTGGAGCAGCAGAGATGGCATCCCCTGGGTTAGTGCCCGCTGGCGTTTGGAGTCTTAGAAGTCACGGAGCGGAGCTGGCGGTTAGGAGGAAGGAAGCCTGGGGCATGCAAGACAGCCAGGCCTACAACCTACAGACAGAGAGAGAGCAGCGTCAAAACCTGAGCCTGAAGAAGCCAGGGCACAGCGTCTGGCCAGAGCGACACAGCTGCCTGCAGAGAATAGGATCCCCAACTCCACCCCTCGGGATGAGAGAGGGGCAACTTTGACAGGTGGTGTGGGCACGGGGGAGCTTTTCCAAGTTCCCATGGGGCCGTGATGGGCACCCCTCAGTTCCTTAAGCCCACAGCTCCTTGTGATAATCAAACTGGCCCCCTACGGAGTACCACTTCTGCTCCCTGATGCTTTCCCTCCCCTCTGTATTTATTATTACTATTACTGTTACTAACATTGGTAGTGCTGGGGCCTCATAGATGCTAAGCAAGAGTTCTATCGTGGAGTCTCATCCCCAGCAATTTGTTGATGCTTTTTGTTTGTTTGTTTGTTTATTAAGACAGGGTCTCTCCTGGCACTCACTACATAGACCAGGCTGGCCTTGAGATCCACCTGCCTCTGCCTCTGAAACTGGAATTAAAAGTGTGTGTCAGTCACCGTGCTCAGCTGCCATTGGTGCTTTTACTTCTGAGACTTCACTATGTATCCCAGGCTAGACCCAAACTTAAAATCTTTCTGCCTCAGCCTCCTGGAAGCTGGGGTAATAGGCATATGCTACCACAACTGGCTCATGCTACCACAAGTCACTCATTCCTCCTCTGAACTTCACCCAGAAGTGGGATTTGGGGGACTTGGCTTAATGAGCTCATTTTCTCTTACCCACATGGTGTGGAGAGGGGCTACACCCCTCTGTGAGAAACACTAGCCCAGTGGCCCTTGCTGGTGCCCATTTCAGCTGCAAAATGTCACTGTGGATTATGGGAATGAAAGCATGGATGCGAGAAGCTGGCATGCAGAGACAGAATGGGAAGCGCAGGTATTCAGTGGGGACAGTCACACACAGGCAGGAAATGAGAGAAGTGATAGAAACACACTATTCCTCCAGAACTGGACAGGAGCTCTTAAAGTCAGGGTGACCATAGCATCCTTTCCCGTAGTAGTGGCTCCGCCAGCGGCTGGGGGTGCCCGAGACCATTTCGCCAGCAGTTGAAGAGGGCCGTTGGATCCGGTCCGGCCAGCAGACAGGTGGAGGAGTCAGGGTCGGGGGCAGGGGAGATGACAAGACAGGCCAGGGGATCCGCCACCCCCCGAAAATGAAAAGTGACAAAGTCATGGGGAAAGAAAAGAGAAAGTGAGAGTTAGCGGCCCCGGAACAGAGACCAGAAACAGAAGGCTCTTCCTGGCTGTCATGGAAGCTTGGGAGCTGGTGGCTGTGGGCAGGTGACAGCTCTACTAGTAAACTCAGTTTCCCATCTGTGAGATGAGAAGGTGGCACTGACCGGCTTCCAGCAACAGGGGTCGTCTTTGGCTGCCAATGCCTGCCCAGTGCCTGCCCAGTGCCGGCAGGGTTTGGTGGAAGAGGAACCCTGTATTCACAGGGCCCAAGACCTACAACAGCACAGGGCTCAGCCTGGAGGCCTCATCACCCCTCGCCCACTGTCAATGCCCACACCTCACCTGCCAAGCTTATGGGATTTACCTGATACTTCTGGGCAAAGTTCCTTACCTAAGCCCCGCTGTGGAAACTGAGGCAAGTAACGAGGCCCCACGTCCTGACAAAGGGGTGTGGCTGGAGAGGGGTCATAGAGGAGGAAGCCAGAGTAGAAACAGAAAAGGACAAAATGCAGGAGAGATGACAGTGGCCCCTGGGGCTCTGGGGCTCTACACAGCTGAGTGGCATGGCCCATTAAGGGACAGCAAGATTTCAGTGCTCAACAGCTCAGCGACTAAGGGGGTACCAGGTCCTGATCTCTGACCCTTTCTCCTCTCAGGCATAACTTTCTCACCCTGGTCTAGCCTGGGCTTGGTGTCAGTGATGCTCTAATACAGTGAGTGACATGTAGATTCCCACAGGAGGAAACTGGAGGTGTCTGCCTGCTAAGGGCGTCTCTCCCCCGCCCCCATGGAAGCCCCAGAGCATAGTCTGATGCCTGTTCAGCAGAGGGTGCCCTTAAACACCCCAGACAGGCTCTCCAGGATCTGATGGCAGGTCAGGCTTAGGAGGGAGTACTTACTCAGCCGACTTCCAAAAGTGCCCCGGATGGGAGAGCCGCCGGTTCAGCTTGGGCAGCTTTTCCAGCATGTCCATCAGCAGGCTGAAGCTGGGTCTTTCCTGCAGGTCGAAAGCCCAGCACGCAGACAGGATCTCCTGCAAAGGGCACTGTGGTCAGTGTGTGTGGGCATCTGGGAAGGGGTGAGGATGCAGATGGACAGGACACTTCCTAAGGGTTCCTGTGAAGTCCCTAAGTGCCCTGCACAACTATGGGCACAGAATCCTGGGAAGTAAGCATTTCAGAGGTGACATCAACCTTCCAGGTCAAAACGAACTTGCCTGTTTCCCTTCCTCCTCAGCTTGTCCTTCCCTAACGTCAGTGACCAAGTCAGGCAGGATGGAAATAGGAGAGGGGGACTGAAGGCAGGTGGCCTTTGCACATCGTAGGAACGTGGAAGTGTCCAGGGGTGAATGTGAGGTCCTAGGACTGTATACAGGGTGGGGCGGCCACAAATGGGCGTCTCAGCGCTACCAGAGTGAAGACTGGCGGGACAAGAACTGACACAGGGACGCAGCTGCCAGCCTGCAGAGCAGCTGCCATGACGGAAGGAAGGCCTTCTCTCAGGGTCCACTCAGCCCCCAGCACCATCTGCAGCCTTGTCACCCAGAAGGGTGGCCTACACACGCAGCCATCACAAGACCCCAGGCTCGGGGTGAGCGGAGGGCAGTCATGTCACACGCCCAACCCGCCATCGGGCCCTGCTTCCTTCTACTCACGCCGACTTCCTTCCCCAGGCTGACGGAGGCCAGGACGCGCCTCACTCCTTCCCCACTTCCGATCTGCCAGATCAAGGCTTCTGCACGCTGGTGTTTAAAGGGCCACTCTCTCGCCTGTAGTTCATACCACACGGTCCTATGGAGACACACCACAGTGTGAGCTCTTGTCCACATTAGGAGCCAGAGACAAAAGGTCAAAGACATGGTCACTCTGCCAACAAGGGGCACAGCCATGACTTCCCAAGGCACGCTTCCCAGCCCAATGGCCACCATTGTACTTGAGTGCCGGTGGCCTACTCACCCGAATGCATAGACATCGGCGGCTTTGGAGAAGGGCAGCTGGTCCTCATCCCTCCCGGGTATCATTTCTCGTACAATCTCAGGCGCCAGGTAGCACAGCCAATCATGGGACAGCTTCAGTTGGTTCTCACGCCTGGAGGCCAGGACAGGGACATGGGCCCCTCAGTGGGGAAGCAGGTGGCCTGACTGTACGCATCTGCGCTCATTCACATGTGGCAGAGAAAACTCAGAAAGGAATATGGAAGTTTTCCTTGCCTTTGAACAGGCTGGGCACTTCTAGAAAGGGAGGCCACAGTTGGGAATGGCAGGGAGCCACTGGGGACGGTGTTTGAGTCCTTGTACTGAGAGAGTGACTGGTCTGTCTAGGACCTCAGGCCTGTCTGCAGATGTCAAACCTGCAGGCTGACTCTCTGGCCTGTCAATCTTCCTTGAGGCCTCACCTCCAATCTTATGGAGGAGCTTTTCTTGTCACCCAACCCCTTCACAATCACAGGCAGTAAAATCCAACGCTCTTTCTCATCAAGAGGATATAAACCAGATCTCTCACCCATCACTGAGTAGCCAAGCCAAATGGGCCAGGGAACTCAGCTTCCACGGGTATCCACCTGAAAATCAGGTACCACGAGGAACCTAAACACCACCCAGACCTAACCCTGGACTGAAACCACATGGGCAGAACCAGGAACTGCGGCAACCTGGTCTGTGCAGGGAAGGCTCTTGCCAACGATACAGCCTGGGTATTCCACACTCGTGTAATGCTGCAGCCTCCCATGCATGCAGATATCCATGGTCAACTCACCGCTCCTCCCGGACTACGCCCGAGATCCCAAACAGCCCGAAGTCTGTGATGACCACTTTGCCGTTATCATAAAAGACATTCTTGGACTTGAGGTCTTTGTGCACGATGCCCTTGGCATGAAGATACCCCATGCCCTGCAAGACAGCCAACCTTGTATCAGAGGGTGGGGGATGCTGAGCTTTACTCGGGGTGAGGCGTGTTACCCATTCCCCCCGACCCCAATCTTAAGGATACCATCCTCACCTCACAGAGGCCCAGAGAGGGCAAGTGACTGCCCCAGGCCACACCACAGCAGTTAACCATGGAGCCCAAACCTGACCTCAAACCAGTTCATGCTCTTTCTACAGCCTCCTCAGACTTGGGTAAGGTGTGAGGCACGAGCACAATGACTGGCAGTGGGCAGAGATTGAGGAGGTAAAGATTAGCGGTAAGGGCTAGAGACGGAGCTCAGTAGTTAAGCGTGTGTTCCCATGCACTTGGTCCCATGTTCAGTACTCAGCATTAGCAATTCTAAATAATCAGGGCTGGAGGGATGGCTCAGTGGTTAGGAGCACCTCCTCCTCCTGCAGAGGATCAGAGTTCAGTTTCCAGCACCCACATAGGGTGGCTCACAGCCATCTGTAACTCTAGTTCCAAGGAATCCAGTGCCCATTTCTGGTCTCTGTGGGTACCAGGCATGCGCGCGCGCGCACACACACACACACACACACACACACACACACACACACACGGGATGAGGGGGCAGCAGATGGATGACAAGATCTTAGAAACAGATTTAATGAATAAGGAGTTCCCTAGATGGGCTCTGCTCCGAGGCAGGGCGACACCCAGAGCAGGTAAGAGACATTCCTTGGAGGGGATCTCAAGTTTGGCTGTTTCCAACACCTTGCCATGGTAACAGGGGATCCAGACCTGAAGCCTGAGTTCCACGCTCCACTCTCACTCAGCTAGCACTATGTGGCCCTGGGCACAGTGCTGGCCCCTCGGAGCCTCTGCCTCCTCATCTGTGGGTGAAATGGTGTGGGCGATTCCCACAGCAAGTGCTCTGGCCTGATCTCAAGGTCAGGGGCACATGGTCCAGGTGCTGGAGGGACAGGTTCCACCGTGGGCTAAGGACAAGCAGCTATCCCTGTCTGAGGCACTGAGTGGAGCTTGGTGGGTGACACTTGCAATCCCAGCACTTGAGAAACGGAGGCAGGGTTTAAGGTCATCCTCAGCTACAGTGGATCTGAGGACGCCCCACCCACATGCACAAGCCCCAGGAGTGACAGCTGGGAAGGGCCAGGTTACAGAGACAGGCTCTAGAGTGGAACCTGGACCATGAGTCTTTCTTCACCATTTCCCCGAGTCTCCACCATAACCCTCCAAGTTGTAAACCCTCTCAGGGAAGGTCAGGTCCTTCTGCTCTGCTTTTGATTCTCAATGCATCTCAGATTACTCCAAAGAGAAGTGACTAGGGTGGGGGTGAGGTGGGAGCTGAGCCAGGGCCCCCAGGGGCAAGAGAAGGTCTTTCAGTAAAAAGGGAATAGAAGGAGTGACAGGCCGCAAGAGCCTGCTGTCTCCAGAGTATCTGAGTCACTTGTCCTCCTGGCCCCCTTGACTCTGGTGACTCAGAGGGCAGTTCCCAGATCTGAGGGAGTAGGGAGGGGTAGAGGTCAGGTGTGGGGGTAGAGCAGAGTCCTTGATGAAAGGCCACACCTGAGGCAGAGGTGACACTGAGGGTTTTGGTCCTGGAAGTTTAATTTCTAAGTGTGGCCATGGGGAAAAAAAGGGGCAGACTGAAATCCTGGTTTGTCCCCCAATATCATTTTTATCTTTTCCTTTCTAAGACATCCACATATAAAATGGCCTGAGAGAAGAGGGGGAAGGAGGGGAAGAAGAGGAGGAGGGGTTGGAAAGGAAGGCCAGTTGACACACAGCGGCAAATGGGGGGCTCTTCTTTTCCGAGACAAGGTTTCATGTAGCTCGGGCTAACTTTGAATTTGTTTGATAACCAAGGATGATCTTGAACTTCTGATCCTCCAGTCTAGCTCCCAAAGACTGGGATTACAGGTGTGCCACTATGCCTGGTTTATGGTGCTGGGTACTGATCACATGACTTTGTACATGCTAAGCAAGCACTCGATCAGCTGAGCTCCATCCCAGCCCGAGAGCCTGCAGATTTTCAATACACAGAGAGGAGTCTTATCAGTGTTCCAGGTTTTCTGTTTTGTAGACAAGGCAGTCTCCCTTCCCTGTGTGGTCCAGGCTGAGTTCAAACTCTCAATCCTCCTGTCCCAGCCTTCCTAGCTCTGGGATTTATATTCACGGTACTTGGCTTTTATTCTTTTAAAATTAGATTCATTTTATGTGTTTTGCCTGAAATTATGTATGTGCATCATGTGTGTACTTGGTGCCCATGGAGGTCAGAAGAGGGTGTCGGATCCCCTGGACCTGGAGTTAAGGATGGTTATGAACCACTGTTTGGGTGCTAGGAATTGAACTTGCAAGAACAAGTGCTCTTAACCGCTGAGCCTGCCTCTCCAGCCCTCGTAATAGTTTGTATAAGCATCGAGTGAGAGGCTCACTTTAATTACTTTCTAGATGAGTACAGAATGGAAAAGAGCTGCCTGCACAGAACAAAAGGAAGCCTGGATTTGGATAACCACAAATTTGCAAAAGGTGTGGGTCTTTAAAACTTTTTTAAATCTATTTATATATTTTTAATGATTTATTTTTATTTTATGTGCAATGGTATTTTATCTGCATGTACATCTGTGTAAGGATGCCAGAGCCCTTGGAACTGGAATTACAGACAGCTGTGAGCTGCCATGTGGGTGCTGGGATGTTGAACCTGGGTCCTCTGGAGAGCAGCCAGTGCTCTTAACTGCGGCACCATCTCTCCAGCCCAAGTGTGGGTCTTTTGATACCCTGAAGTGAAGCATTCTGTTCCCCACTGGCGATACTAAGAAACCCTCACCACACCTAGCTCTTGCCAACTGTTCTCTGTACGGATGATGTCATTCTGTCTCTGCTCTGACCTAATCAAGGAGGCTGTGTTGGTACTCACAGAGGGGAAGCTGAGGCTCAGAGAGGCTAAACAAGCTCCGTGAAGTCACACAGCTAGAGTGATACTTTAGAACATGCAATTTTTTCACAGCTAATTCAGTTCTATTAACACCAGCTGAGTGGTGAGCTCTGGACCTGATTGGATGAGACCAGGTTGAAGTGTCCCAGTTAGGAGACAGAGGAGCCACAAACTACCTGGCACAGCCAATATGGCCTGGGGAAGGACCAAGAGCTCTAGAGGCAGCTGGAACCACCCTCCCCAACCCTGCTTTTACCTTGATGATCTCCTGGGCGATCTGCCTCGTCTTGTTGATGTCCAGAGATATCTTGGGGTCCCTCACGAATGAGTGCAACGTCCGCCCCTTGCAGAAACTGTTGAGGGCAGTGGGGTTGGAAAGAGGCCTGAAGCTGCGATAGGCTAACCCCACTCCCATGGAACCTGGGTGGGGAACTGGGCCCACCTGCTTCTGGAAGGTTCTCCATCCCAACCAACAAGACACAAACATGTGTTTTTTAAACCAAGACTCCAGCTGGAGCCCAACTAGACATGCACATACATGCACATCCATTTCTGGAGGTGCAAGGCCTGCCAGCTTTCCCTGCACGAGGAAACAGCTTGACCACACTCCCAGCCAATCAAGGCCGAACGGGAGGAACTCTGCCTCTGGGACTCTCAGCAGGCTACATGGAGCCTCTGGGCTCACCACAAAGTTATTTTCATTATATGTAGATTCCAGGACATCACATCCTGTTGCTGACTGAGTAGTCTGTTCCTCTCTGTGCAGCCCCTTGCACTAATCCTAAGCTCTTCAGGAACTGGCGGCATGAGTGACAGGAGGGTGGATGAATGGCAGAGGAGGCTGCAGAGCTGCGGCACCCCTAAGTGGTTTGCTTGTTTCCCCAAAGCGCGGATGCAGGTGCAGGACACCTCATGCCGGTGAGGGCGGGTTCTCTTGGCTTTGTGGAATGGAAGTCATGAGTACCCGAGTTGGGCTCCATCGCCCACTTACAAAGCGAACATGAAACTGGACGTGACAACAGACGCCTTTATTCTCAGTACCCAGGAGGCAGGAGCAGGTGAATCTGAGTTCAAGTCCAGCCTGGCCGACACAGTGAGTTCTAGGACAGCTGAGGCTCTATCAGTAGACCCTATCTGTGCGTGTTTGTCAACCCACGCATCTGTAAACCCCAGTGTTGGGGTCCGAACTCAGGCCCTCAGGCTCACACGGGTGTTCTTGTCCATCAAGCCTTCTCCCCAGCTCCCTTGTCTGATTTTAAAGTGGCCCAGGCAACTGTTTCTGTGTCTAGGCCTGCTGCTCTGGGCAAGGACATTGTTTTCCATGGAGAACGACAAGTGGGTCACAGAAGCCTTTCTGAAGTAGAAACAGGCAATCTACACCAAGACAGCAAAATGTCAGGACTGGGGTATGGCTCAGCATGGCACCCGCTGAATGCACACGGCACCGGGCTCACCCCACAGCAAAACGTGCATCCCGAAGTAGACCTGAGGCCTACAGTCAACCAAGAGAGATAAAATGTGAACCAGCATTATTTTAGTTATATATTTCTAAATTAAACTGTTTATTTCTGTTTATGTGCATGTGTATATGTGGTATGTGTGCACACAGCACAGCATGCCTGTGGAGGTCTGAGGACAACTCGTGGGAGTCAGTTCTCTCCTAGGGGTTCTGCGAATCAAAATCAGGCTCCCAGGTTTGTGCACCAAGTGCCCTCACCTGCTGAGTCATCTCATGGGCCCCCAATCGGCTTTATTGTAATGGAAGGGATACTGAGATTCACCACACCCACTTTCGTGGGGAGACGTGTCCAGGCAAGGGGCTGTAAGTGTAGCTTCTGCTCTGTGTCTTCTAGAACACTAGGGTTTCCTTTATGCTCAGAGGGGTCTCTTGATCGATTGGTTGATTTACTTATTTATTTATGCATTTATTTTGAGGAGAGCCAAGGTCTTGCTATGCAGACCCAGCTTTCTAAAACTCAAGATTCCCCTGTGTCAGCTTCCGGGTGCCAGCACTACAGGCGTATGCTGCCATGCCCAGCTCTGGTGTTCTAACATCAGTGGGCAGTGTGGATGGGGACATGATTCCCTATCTTTAGTTTTCTTCTTCCTCTTTGATAACCCTTCCACATCCTCCAGGGCATCCACAGAAGCCTTGGGCTTCAGGGACAGGGAAGCTGTGCTGCTCACGGGCCCAGGCGGGGTGGCTTACCTGGTGATAATGGCCAGGTGGGGTGGGTTCATGCAGGCCCCCATAAAGAGCACCACGTTCTCATGCCTGGTCTGCCTGTAGTTCATCACCTCTTTCTTGAACAGCTTCAGGTGGTCCTGATTGTGGCCATCTATCTCCAGCAGCCGAATGGCCACCTCGCCATGCCAACGGCCTCGGTGCACCCGGCCCCAGCGGCCCTGCCCAATGGGCTCGCCTAGCTCCACCTGTTCAAAGGGGATGTCCCACTCCTGCAGGTACACGCTGGTCTGGCTGGCTTTTCGAGAGATGGGACGCCGCCAGGGCCGGCGGGAGCTGGGGAGGTCGTCCACCTCGTCCTCATCATCTTCTGCCTCGGATTTGCCAGCCTCAGGTTCCTCAGCCTGAGAGGAGAATGAGATTGAAAGAGAGGAGTGAGTCTGGGTCTCATGTAGCCCAGGCTAGCCTCCAACTTGCTATGTAGCTGAGGATGACTTTGACCCTCTGATCCTACCACCTCCATCTCCTCAATGACCTGCACCACCACAACTGGTTACGGCGGTCCTTGACACCTATGAGAATCGCCTATCACGCTCTGATTACACAGAGATAGATGCCTACCCCCATCCCAGGCCAGGGACTGGGTCTGTAGGCTGGGAGCCGGGACAGGAGAATACAGAGGCTCTCACAGCTAGCGCTCAACATCATTCTCTGGTTATGCACACCACACCTGCCCACACCTGCTGCAACAGGCTCTGCATCCTCACTCCTCCACGGCCCCCACCACCCTGTGCACCCTAAGAGAGGAGAGAGAGGCAGCTATCTTGGGTCTCAGGCAAATCGCTCCCACTCACCTCTGCTTCATGAACACCCAGCACGTCTGCTTTGGGCTGGTCGTCGGGCCTAAGAGTGAAACGGGCTTTGTCAGGGAGCTCCTGGGCTGGGCCAAGGGCGGCCCTGGGGGAGGCAATGTGGAAGCTGAGGATATGGCTGGAGGCTGGGGGTGGGAACGCGAGGGTGGGCAGTTACCGCCCTGGCCCTTGCAGCACGTGGTGCAGGGTCCCACGCTCCTGCCTCTGAGCAGGCTATCACCACCTCACAGTGTGAACTTATGTAATTTAACCCCTCTAAATGGTTGCACTTAGAGACCTACTTTCTGGCTAAGAACTGAGGGGCCAGGAGACAGGAGCTCAAGGTAACCTAATGGAGAGGGGGATCCAGAGGCAGGAGCTAGGTGTAGCAAGTCTCTCTGTGTTCACCTATATTTCCTGCTGAGCCATGAGTCTGCTGCTGTTGTATACACAGCCCCATACAGGGCTGACAGTATGGATAGGAGGCGAATGTAGATTCGCCCATCCCCCACCAGGATGGCCCAGAACCAGAGGGTCAGATATATAGGGGTTGGTTGGGAGGGTCAGATATGTAGGGGTGGGCTGGGAGGTAGCTGGGGAGGGTAAGATATGTAGGGGTAGGTGGGTGGCTGGGGAGGGGTCATACCGTGTGCTGTCAGCTGTGCTGGAGGGCAGGGCTGCCTGAGCTGAAATGTCTGTGGGAAAGAGAACAGGAGCAAAGTGTGAGGATGCTTTCCTTCATCCCCAAAGACTAGCACACCAGGGACACCCCTTCTCTTCTGAGCTGTCACCTCTCCTCAGGCCGCTTCCACCAGGATCAGCTCATATTTTGCAAGCTGACACAAACTCAGTCTCTACAGCCTTTGGTCTACATGGCTGCCCCAGGCAGAGGCTCTGGGTGAGTGACTCTAGAGACCCCAACAATTAATACTACTGCTGTGGGCTCAAATGACCCCATTGTGGCAAAAGCTAACACTGCTGCCCCCACAGAGGGTCCTTCTGGAAGGAAGCAGGGCTGGCTGTCATCTTTCAAAGCAAGGATACCCTTTGCCTAGCTAGAGGTCAGGCTGGCAGCTACACAGCACCGATAACGTCTGTGGCACCTGGTGCCTAGTGTAGCTGCTGGTCCCGACTCTGAGAGTGGTTGGCTGCCTTCACAGTGCTGCGCAAGAAGAGGAAATCCAGTCTGTGCACCAAGAGGCTCCAGGTTGGCAACTAAGGCCGGCCCGGGACCCTAGGTGGCCCAGCTGTAGCACAAAGACCCACTTCTAGGACACCAGAAACAGACACGTCCCCTCCCGAGCAGAACAAAGAGCCACGTGAAAAGCTGTGGTGGTGAGCAGAGCTCTCCTCTCTCCACAAAGAGAACCAGGAAGTGGCAACAGCTCAAGCTATCAGAGGCCCCTTTCCTACCCTGGACAAAGACCTTTCCCCTCAGCCCTCAGCCAGTCTCCTTTGCTGGAAGGGTTTCTCCACAGCCGTCAGAGAAACCAGACTCCGACAGAAGCTGTGGCCTTCTTATGGGGAGATGCACATGTGAGCGCAACACCCTGGGCAGTGTTGGGGTCCACGGGCCTCAGAAGCATCTGCTATGACCTCTCCAGCCACCTCCATATTGCCTCCAGACTGCCAGGCCAGCATATTCACACATGCTCAGGCCACTCCAGAAGCTACACATGTCTTGGGTGAGGTGCGGGGGTAGGGGTGGGGGGCAAAGGTCTGGGAAGCCTCACACCTGCCCTTAAGAATGTATTGTGCGGGGGCTGGAGAGATGGCTCAGTGGCTAAGAGCATTGCCTGCTCTTCCAAAGGTCCTGAGTTCAATTTCCAGCAACCACATGGTGGCTCACAACCATCTGTAATGAGGTCTGGTGCCCTCTTTTGGCCTTCAGACATATACACAGAAAGAATATTGTATACATAATAAATAAATATATAAAAAAGAACGTATTGTGCATTCTGTTCTTGTTCCAGTTAGTACTCGGAGCCCTACTCCAGCTGCAGGGCACAGCAGGCCACTCGGGAAGAAATGCTGTGGTTCCCCAGTTGAGGGGGGACACTAGTGTACATATACACCCTAGAGCCGGTAACTACAAAGGCTCTGGGAGGTGAGGTAGGGGATCACACAACAGGGGTGCACCCAAAGCCCCTGGCAGCCTGCACACACACATGAATAGAATTATGGGGATAATGGTTACCAAATGCTCCAACTCGATTCTTCAAGGGAGCTGATCCAGAGAATAGAAAAGCCTGGAATAGGCAAAATACTGGGGTTTCCAGTCTTGGCAAATCAGAGAAAAGACTATTAGAGTTGTCTAAAGCGCATAACCCCACAGTGTTGGGTACTTCCAGCGGGAGGAGAAAAGCATCGATCTTATTTGGCCTCGAATGGGGAGAGGTATGGGCAAATACAGAAGTGTGCAAAATAGTTTTTGAAGAGGGAATCCAAAGACTGCCTTACTGAATAGAAATTCTTCCTTCACGCAATGAGGTAGTTCCACTGAATGCCAGCAGGTGGCACTGTATGCTAAGGCTGGGAAAGGCAAAGACAGCTGAGGGATGACGACGGTGCCTGCCTGCTAAGACTTTCCCAAATTAGCTTTCCCTTGTCACTCATTTTTCAGGAGGCATCGGCAAGCAGCCCCCACCCCTCATTCTGCAAACCCAAGTTCTGGGTTCCCATCCTGTCACTTCTGGGCAGGGTGATCTTGAACCAGTTCCCTGCAGTCTCTGTGAGGCGCTGCACTGGATGGACTCCAGGGTCCCATCCAGCAAGGTACTGCCCTCTGGCCCAGCTGCAGAGGGCTAAAGCGCATGGGGAGAATGCACCAGGCGGGACAGCCAGAGGGTCACAGCAAGGGGCAGTGAGTGGACCCATGCAGAGGACTCACCTGGGAAGATAAACTGCTGTCTGTGATGAATGAAGCAGGCAGCTTAAAACAGAAGAGGAGGTGAGTCACACGGTGCGAAGGCAGTGCGGGGGGGGGGGGGGGATGCGTGGACTAGGGGAGGGGTGGGTGCTAGTTATTGGCTCAGATGGCTCTGCCCCAGGGGCTCTGGTGAGCAAAGGTGAAGCCATGCAGGAAAAAGGAACCGAACTAGAAAAGAATCAGGTGTGGTGAGCTCAGGAGCGGAGGCTGCACTGGAGATGGGGCAAGGGACCATCTCAGCGGACGCCTTGCTGAACAGCTGTGGCCAGTGAGCACTGGGAAAAGCTACAGCCAGTGTTGTTGGAGAGAATGCGCAGGAGCAAGGATGGAGTATGGAGAGCAGTGGCTTTGACGACGTCCAACAGTGTGTGCGCAACGGCCTCCCTCCCGTCAGTCTACTCGACCCAGAAGCGCCCTGACCGCGCTGCTTGAGTGCTGGATCCTCCCAGTGCTGGGATTCTAGACAGGGAACCCGCACACACCACTCGCCTTCTGCTTCTGCGATGCTTGTTATCCTGCCTGGGCCAGTTTCCCACACATGGGCACCATTCTCCGGCTATGTATGGCCGGCCTTGCAAGTAGCTGGGACTCTTGGTGAGTCTAACCTTGACTCTCCTCCATGAGAAGGTGATCAGCCCCCCAGTGCCTTACTGTAAGTAGGGGAATACAAAGCTAGCCCAGGCTTTCCTATGAGGCTCCTGGACAGCACAGGGCAGGTAGGTGGCGGAGGGGTTCGAGGTCCTTCCCTGCGGGCTCATCTCAGCCCCCCAGGGATCTGCTTACGAATCCACTAAGACCATGGAGAGGGTAAGGCTTCTGTGCAGGACAATGGGGGCCCATTTCCTTGTGGGTCATCTGTCTCTTGTCTTTTCAAACCAGTGCTTCTTAGAAAAACCCAAAGTAGAAAGTTTATCAAGTCCAGAGAGTAAAGGCAGAAGAGAACTGAAAAGGACGCTAATCCAGGGGGCACCGCTCAGCCACAGGGAGGGATGAAGTGCGGGACAGACGTCACTGTTAAGAGCACCCCCGCCACAAGCATTAAGGCAGGCACAAGAACACGCGACAGAAGAGTCCGACCCTTTGGCCCCTCACCACCCTGAAATGAAGTCCCGAAGTCCCCAGTGGGCCCAGAGGCTGCTTGGCCAGCTGCTGGCTATGTATAGGTCAGTGTGGGTACCGCTAGCCAGAGGGGATGAGGGGCGTGGTGGCACTCTGTCTTTTTGGGTTTATAATGTCAGGAACTAGCGACAGGGGGCTGATCTGGACCCCGTGGGTTATGGCAAACAGGAGCGTCAGAGCTGTGGCTTTCCCTTAGGACTGCAAACTGGGTAAGCCCAGGGCCGAGATGGGCAGCGGAGCTGCCCTGGCCAAGGATGCCAAGGCAACAGCTCAGTGCCATGGGGGCGAGTGGGCTTTGCTGTGCTCCCTGGAGATAGGGCAGCCCAGGGTGGCTGACCCCGTGGAACTGAGGGCAGCTGGGCTCAGTTCTGTCCCTCCAGAGTTGTCCCAGGACTTACTGTCTTCACTTGTTCAGTGGGAACACCTCATTCTAATTCCCCAGGGTCTCTGGGTGGCACATGAAGGAATATGAGGTCTTGTCTGAGAAGTCAGCCCCAATAAACAACTATATATGCCAGAGGCCCAATGCCCTTTGGTAGGTTTTCTACTCCATACTGTGGAGAGGCTGGACAGGAGCCACCACAAGCACAGGCAAGCAGCCTGGGGCTACCCCAAGAACGCAGGCTCTGTGTTGGACAGACTTGGGTTTGGCCCCCACTCTACCACTCAACAACGCAGGGCCGGCCACTCCTCCTTGGTCAAGCCCAGCAAACTCGTCTGTAAGAAGGGGGCAGCAGCACCAATCCCACGCTCAACAAATGCTCCACAGACCCAAATCTCAGGGGACACCGGGAGAGGGTCTGAGGCCACCCCTAAGAATCCAGAATAAACCCAGAGGTGTGGTACCTGGGAAGTTGAACCTGCTGTCCCGCTGGCCAGGAGAAGGGTTGGGGGGCGTGGTGGCACTGGAGGGGTTAGATGAGGTCAGGAAGGGCGCCGGTGATGAGGGTGTGGAGGATGTGGTGGAGGATGGGTTGCTGCTGGAGTCCAGGTTCATGGCTGGAGGATGTTCCTGCAGGACCAGAGATGCTGGGCTGGGCAGGGCTGCAAGCTCAACTCAGCCACTGCCGACCTGCTGAAGACTTCCTTCCTCCCTGCTCCTTCCACCTCCATGGGTAGAGGTCAGGCCAAGAGATCCTTGGGGCCCTGTTCTGTAGTCCCAAGATTTCCTGGACTAATCTATGATGAGAAGACACTTGGAGACCCTCCCCTAAAGGGTTCCTGCCCATCTCTCTTACTGCACTTCCTACTTCCCTCTGGAAGTCCATCTGAGCCCTAGCTGGAACTATGTGTGTTCTTCCTCTTTATTCTCCCATAGTGCCCAGCATACAACATCCAGGCCCCTTAACACACATCTTGTCAGCTGCAGACGGCCGAGGTTGGCTTGCTGCCAACCACCTCTCCCACCCCAGTACCTGCCTGGCTCTGAGCTGGAAATCCAGCTTCTTAACGAATGGATCCACACTGTGACCAACAGTTTTTCAGTTTCTGCTATGTGCCAGGCACTCTGCAGCCAGCAGGGTAATAACAAGGCTCAGAATCTATAGTCCTGTGACCTTGTCCTAAAAGTACAAGAACCTGTAAAACTCCACAAGAGGCAACAGCTTGGGCCAGTGTTGCCTGCCATCGTGCAGGGTTAAGAATTCCAGGACTGGGGTCGGGGGGTATGGCTCAGCTGCTGTGGCGCTTGCCTAGCACACAAAGCCCTGGTTTTGGTCCTGGTACTGCAAAAAGTAGGCATAGTGGAACAGGCCTGTAATCCCAGAACTCAGGAGGCAAAGGCAGGAGGATCCCAAGTCCAAAGTCAGTCTTATCTACAAAGTGAGTTTGAGACCAGTCTGGGGATACATGAGACTTTGTATCAAAAAAGAAAGGGGTGTGTGGGGTGTGGTGGGGGGGAATCTAGAGCTAGAAGGAAGTTTCTGAGAGAGACTCCAGGAACTGACTGCAGCGGGAGGCCTGGTTCATCACACACTGCAGCTTCAATACCTGCCCAGCCCTGGTGACAGGCTCAAACCTTGGACAGGTGTGGTTTCTCGTCAGAATGAAATAGCTTCTGGATTTCAAAGACATTTGAGTATCATTTGCACACGCACATACGTGAACACCTTTTTACACGTGTGTGGAGGCCAGAGGCTGAGACACTAGATACCACCACTTCCTACCTTGTTTTCAGAGGCAGTGTCCTTTACTGATCTGACGAGACTGGCTGATCAGCAAGGGTCTTCCTGTCTCCACTTGTCTGGTACTTAGGATCACAGGTGCACCGCTATCCCTGGCTTTTTATTGTTTCATATTAAGACAGGGTCTCCCTACATAGTTCTGGCTGGTTTGAAACTTGTTATGCAGATCAGGCTGCCCATGAACTCACAGGGATCCGCCTGCCTCTGCCTCCTGGGTGCTGGGATTAAAGGTGTGAGCTTTATGGCTCTCATGTCTGGCTTTGTATGTGGCTGTTGGGCATCAGAACCCAGGTCCTAAGCGATCACGCTATGGACTGAGCCATCTCTCCAGCCCCAGAGACATTTAGTTTATTAATTACCTTCTACCTATGGGGGGGGTTCTAATTAGGATGGATTAAAGCAGGGCTTTTCTAGTTGTGTTGATAAGGACTACACACCAGATTCTGGTCAGTAACTACGTGATGGAGGAAGGTCATTGGCTAATAAAGGAACTGCCTTGGCCCATTTTATTGGTTAGAGGATAGGTGGGAGGAGTAAACAGAACAGAACGCTGGGAGGAAGAGGAAGTGAGGTCAGTCTCGACAGCTCTCCTCTCGGGAGCAGACGCCTGAGAGAGACGCCATGCCCTGCTCCCGGGATGAAGCTCCGACCCAGGATGGACATAGGCTAGAATCTTCCCGGTAAGCGCACCTTGGGGTGCTACATACAGATGATTAGAAATGGGCTAAATTAATATGTGAGAATTAGCCTTAGAAGAAGCTAGATAGAAATGGGCCAAGCAGTGATTAAAAGAATACAGTTTCCGTGTAATTATTTCGGGCATAAGATAGCCGGGCAGGCGGACAGGGGTGCTGAGAACGGAGCCCCGCTGCCCTTATTACTACATTTTGGCGCCCAACGTGGGGCTCGAACCCACGACCCTGAGATTAAGAGTCTCATGCTCTACCGACTGAGCTAGCCGGGCAGGCAGCCGGGGTGCTGGGGATGCAGCCCCACCGCCCGTATTACTTCAACTACGAGGCTGGGCTATGCCCCTTAGGACAGAGCGGGGTAGATGACTTGGAGCTCGGGACCTGGGCACCCAGGTAACCTGGGATCAGAGGGTGCAGTCTGCAAGGGAAGCCAGTATGGAAGGGGTGGGGGAAACTCAGGCTCAGCTCTTCTGCCCGCAGCTTTGTGCAATGGCATCAGGTATGACGGAGGCTGCCTGAGATTCCCACCAGGGTTCTACCACTTCTTAGCTGGGTGGCTTTGGGCAACTTCCTTGACCTCTCTGAGCTTCCATTTCCTTAGCCTCACACCGTGACTTATGCCAGTGCACCGCTGTGTGGATTTGTAGCAAAACAAAGGCTGGGCATACAGTACACAGTAGACGTCTAATGTTTGCCCAAGTGACTCGCTATCTTGGACCAAACAGGGCTTGGGATCATGCTTTGAGACTTAACCAAGCTACAAGGCCCAAGAGGGGTCTGGGAGCGCTTTGGGTTAGGTGGATTGCAGATCTGGTTCAATACCTTTACTTCCTAGGGCAGAAAGGAAAGCCTTATACAAAACAGGGTCCAACCTGTTAGTGCCACGTATAACAAGTTTCTCTCTTGCAAGACCTGAGGCTGTGGGTGGCCAGTGTACCCTGAAGCTCACAGAGCTGAAGCCCCCCCCCCGCCTTTCTGCACCTGTGCTGCTCTGACACACTTCTGACCTGAGCTGCAGTATCACCCAAAGACAGGTCGCAGCGGCTGCACCACAGACACTCACTCAGTGACCCCACACAGACACTTCTGACTGTCTAGCATGTGCAGGGGACAAAGTGGATGTAACGGATGTGTGGGAGGGAACAGCACTGCCTGGATGTCTGGTGACATCTGTGAAAAGGGGACTGGGGCGGGAGGGGGTGGCTAAAGGAGGAGTTGGAGAGGAATGAGACAGGTATTCCCTCCACCCCCCCAGCAATAGGGGCCCCACCCTAGCATCTGTGCATGAAGCACTGTTATCCTGCTCCAAATGATCCATGAGGGAAGCTCAGAGGGATCAAGCCACTCATTTAAGGTCACAGAAGCACGAAAGGGGACGGTGGAGACTCACAGCCAGGGCTGAGGACCCATGGGACTGTGTTCCCCAGAAAGATAGTATGTTGAAATCTAGCCCCCCGTGGTGCTACTGGGGAGCTTCTCAGACCATGAGAATGGTGTCTTCATAAACAGGGTCACTGCCCATATCAGAGAGGCCAGGGCAGCTTGCTGGGCTCTTCCATCATGCGAAGACACAGTGAGGGACCACGAGGAATGGGCTCTGGGAAACCTGGGCCTCAGTTTTTCCATCTGTAACATGGAGCATGTACATGCCCCTCAGAACTAGGTTTTGGGCACACAGTAGGTGCTTAGGAAATGCTGGCTCACAAATGCCAGGGGTAGGGGGTCATGGGAATCACCACATACAACTCCAACATGGACAGAACCACACCCGGGATATGGCTAAGCCAGGATCCCTGGCGTGCCCCAACCCTGTCTGTGACACAGATCTTAGACTGTGGTGTGGTGTCCCACTTCCCCAGTAAGCCTGATGAGGGGGTGTTTGTGAAGGGAATCCAGGGCTGGGGGTGGCGGTGCTCCTGACGCAAGTGCAGGCCCCAGGACACTGCCAGCTTACCTTCTTTGTCAGGGCCTTGGGCAGGGTCCCAAAATGGGGCTCTGATGCTCTGTCCACCGGGTTGTTGATGTCCGAGGGGACAGACTCTGTCCTCCGGAGCCGGGCTACTGTGTGGAGAGGGGGAATCCGTTAGCAGGAACAGATACCACCGAGGTGCACCCAATTCCTGGAAGTGGCAAGAGCGGGCTGGAAGTGGGAGAGGGCAAGAGCGGACACTCACGTGGGAGGAAGGATATTCTGCAGGCGGGGGCTTCCTTCGTGCACCTGTTGTGACATTTCAACCTGCAAAGGGGGAAAGTTAGCACGTAAGGGGTGCCCGGAATTACCCAGATGACCCGGACACAGCCTCAATTTCCCCAAAGCTCTCCAACAAGTGTTAGCTTCAAGGTGTGGGGGCACCCTGTGTGCCATAGCCACTGTCTTCTATATCTCCACAAACCCCTCTCCTGCTTTTTAAGGGGAACTTCCAGAGGCCACCAGCATCAGCAGGGGCCCTGAAGCCCCCAAGGGTGTCCTCTTTTAGGCACGGGCCAGTCTGATGGGCAGTCCCCAGCCAGGAATGGGGAGAGCTGGGTTCCCCTTTGGGACTAGCCAGTTGGTCCCACAAATCTCAATGTTCCTACTAACAAAATGGGTGATGGGGCCACTATAAGCACAGGACAGTGTGTGGCTCAGGGGCCGCCATGTGCTGGCCACATCTGCATGGGAGCTGAGGATCTCATTTATAGCCAAATGACCAGTTTGCTCAGAGGTCAGAGTCCTCAGGATACAGTTCATCATGAGACCCTGTCGCCTCCGCCCTGATGACAGCTCAGGAGTAGCCACTCATGGGAGTTCACACAGGCTGAGCAGATCAGCTCCCCTGATGTCTAAATAGTAAACATGAAGCCCAGAAAGGGCAAGTGCTCTACTCCACATCACACAGCAACACCAGGGCACGGGCAGCTAGGAAATGAAACTCCAGGCTACCCTCTGTAAGGTGTGTGGGCAACGAGATGGCAGATGCCAGTCTGTTGGCCCCCACTGTTCCCCACTCATGTCCCTTCCCACTGGAAGCCAAGCAACGACATGGCAAATCTCCACCTCTCCTCACTCTGCCCAGGCATAGGGCAACTCTGCTGCCACTGCCCGTACCTCTAGCCCGTCTCTCAACTTCAGGGCTCCTCCTAGATCCTGGAGAGTCCTCGCTTTCTTCCTGCCTTCGAATTCTTTCTTTCCTCACTTTCCCTTGGAAACTTTTTTGTTTTTCAAAACCTACTGCAGATATCCCTTTCCTCCAGGAGTGCCTTACTTCACCCTTCACACGGAAGGAGTGCCCAGTGGCACTGTGAGCAGCTGGCTAGGGAGAGCCCTCGAGTCTGACCCGACAGGAGGCTGTTACAGGCACAGGCGCCCGCCCCGCCCCTGCCAGCACCTGCAGTGTTTGCACTTCACTCCGAACATCATGCTCTTCTGGCACACGTTGCAGACCTGTGACAACCACGACTTTGTGGAGAACCTGCCGGGGCAGAAACATGTGGAAATCAGAGCCTGACCTTCTGGAGGGGTCCCATGCATGGGGGTGGGTGTCGCAGCTTCCCCCAAGCATCGGATTTCCCAGCTGCTGTCAGTGTCTTAAAGCTTGTGTGGCCACCAGCATCGAGTGTGGCACCAGCAACCAAAGCACCAATGTGCACGCCCCTCAGACCCAGCAATTATAGTCTTTGTATTTACTCAACATGGTAGTCCCTGGGATGAGATGTCACGTGACCTGTGGACACTGTGCTGCTGCAGCCATACACCACAGTGAGGCTGGAAATACCATGTCTACCAGCAGGGGTCCACAGTGCCACCCTCCACACAGAGGAACACATGTAGCTCTTTCCACACACGTGTGCAATCACCTCCAAATCTCAGTATCAAATGACCGAACTAAGTTGAATAGGACATGATGCCACTGTTATGAAGGTCAAGCACAGGAAAAGGCCATCTGTGATAACAGACTTGGACTGTAATGGCAGGTGGCAGCATAGTCAGCCGGGAAGAGCCAGAGATGACTCTCAGGGTGCTGGACCGCTCTTCATCTTCATTGCACACACAGGGGGCACAGCTATAAACTCCTATGTATGTTTGGCTCTCTGTAAATCACGTGGACTTAAAGAGGAGAATAAAGCAAAGCACAAAGCGGTAATATGTGCAGTTCTGTGTGAGCAAGGAAATAGAACCACACACACACACACACACACACACACACACACACACACACACACGCTTGTCTGTGTAAATCACCCCCAGATGGGTACATGACCTATCTGTGGGCACACTGAAAAGCCGGGGCAAGAGTGGCAGGACTCTCCTCTCTACCCCTGAAACCTCTTCAATTTTAAGCATTTGTACTTTCAGTCTAAAATCTGCCTAAACAAAAACAAACCAGAAGGTAGACTGGAAGGAGAAGAGGGACTTAAGGGGAGTGGTGGCCTTCAGCACAAAAGCACAAGGCCAGCCCAGGGAAACACAGCCAGCCCTTTCAATTCTGGAGGAACGCGCTTCTTGGAAACACAGTACACCATAGTAACAGCAGAATGACTAGCGACAATGTTTGTGGCGCGGTTTGTAACACACCCACAAACATTAGCTCATTTGAGGATTTCAACCACCTCCAAGAGTTAGGCGGGTCCAGGAATCTTGAAAACCAACTCAGAGAGGTGGGCGATGGTCTATTCTAGCTGTGTGTGCCCAGAGCCTCTTCCCTGAGACAGTGAGGTGGGTGATGGTCTAGCCTAGCTGTGTGTGCCCAGAGCCTCTTCCCTGAGACAGCGGCTGAGGGATTCTGGTGTGGGCAAGACTCCAAGCAGAGGTCCCTGTGTACCGGGGCCCAGGCTGTGCTGCTGTGGCAGTGACCTCAGATGTACTGCTCAACCCTTGGGAGCTAGAACTCCCCCTGGGGTGAGAACTTGAGGCCAGCATCAGCACAGCTGGAAAATAGCCCACAGTTTCCATGGAAACCACAGGCCCTAGCAAGCTGCAGTGCCCTTGAGACCCTGATAGCGTCCTTTGTTGTGATTAGAACAGACTTTAGCAGGGACAACCAGAGCACGGGCAACCCAAGGCACTATCCTGCAATCCATCCAGAACTCTGTGGCCAGCACACTCCAGTCTCACAAGCACTGAGGCCAGACCTCTGGAGGGTCCTTGCCACAGGTCTCCAGCAGCCCTCTCTCATATGAACAAACATCAATCCCTTGGATTGTGAAAAATCCAGATTGCTGCTGGGCGAGATGGTGCATACATTTAATCCCAGCAATTGTGAGGCAGAGGCAAGAGGATCTCTGTGAGTCTGAGGCTAGCCTGGTCTGCACAGCCAGTCCAGGCCAGCAGGGCTATACAGTGAATCCTGATGGTAGACAGAGAGGCATATGGGAAGGCTCTGGAAACATGGATTCTCAAGCTCCACAGAGGACCCTGACTGACGGCATGACGCAAAGGCGAACGTGGAGGAAGCTTGGGGTTTAGGGCCACAACTGTGGCCCTATTTCTCTCTAACCCAGAGAAGGTAGGAGAGTGTTTTCCCTCAGCAGGATGGGAACAAGACCGAAGCAGGTGCAGGTGAGGGACCAGAAGGCCCAAGGTGTCTAATCAATAAGTCAAGAGTTCAAGGTGGGTGCGAGTCTGTTTACCACAAGACAAGCAGGTAAGCCAGAGGCAAAGGGTGGCCAGAACAGACTCAACAATGCCCTGTGGAGCCCAGGTCAGCTCTGTACTTCCCCACAGCTGAACCTACCTGTGTGTCACTGAGAGCCCGATATCCCTGCGTACCAGCTGTGGGGATCCATGAGGGAGATCTGTGGGGGAAGGAAGCCAGGTCAGGTGAATGAGGAGGCTCTGTGGGGCTGGCTCAGAGGTCACAGGCTAGATGGGGCTTGGCGCTCTGTTGTACAACACGGAAATGCCTCACTGAACCAACATCCATCAAGGCAGGATGGGTCAGACCCAGCTAGGCAAGGAGAACAGGGATCACCCTCACGTTGGATGGCTCTCCAGCACGTGTCTCTGCCCAGCTCGGCAGTGGGCACACTCACGGTTCTGCTGGGGAGGCAGCCGGAATGCAAAGGCAAGGGAAGTTCATATACATGCCAGCCTCTTGCCCCCTTTCATGGGCATCTACCTTTGGGGCTCAATTTTGGCTAATTCTGGTTAAACAGGTAGAAACTTGACCTCAGCAGAGGGCACAGGGCTGGTCAGCCATGCAACTCCACCCGCACCCTTCCAGCCAGCCGCACTCTGGAGACAGGCCTTGCTGCGCTGGTGGAAGAGCAAGCAGAGGGTGTGGTTCTTCTGGGACATCCCTTGGGAGCATCCCTGGCTCCGCTTTCTCTGCCAGGGAGAACCACAGGCTTAGAGGGTCCCCTCTGCTTACCTTCTGCAGGTCCCCTAGGGGCTCCCTTTCCTGACATGGGTTCCTCTAAGAGCAGGTATCCCAGTGTTTAAGGCAAGGCCGGCTTTGCAGGGGAACAGCTGCTGGATACTGTCTATCATCCATAGCCTATTCTCTGAACCCCATTCTCTGAGCATCCCCCCAAAAGATTCAGGGACCCATGACTCCTCAGTGCTGATCAGTATATTATTGCCAGCTTTGTCCTTGATAGACAGGGCCTGGATTTTTATCCAATGCATCAAAGGTCTCCATAACCCAGAAAAATCAGGAGCACGGTGCTCAATGTCCCTTGAGTCAGAACCCCCCACTCCCAGGGTAGCTACTGCCCCTCTCTCCTGATGTTCGTTCACACAGCTGGTACTCACAACACACCGACTCATCTAAGGCCAGGCACCATCAATTCAAGAGCACAAGGAGGCATGAGTCCTCCCTTACACACTAAAGAACTGTGACTGTGACAAAAGGTTCTTGGCCACCCACAACCCTGTCACCTGCAGCTCTCTGGCACATCCCCAAGAGGCTGCTGCCCCTCGACTTCCTCCTAGGGTGACCCCACTCCAGTCAGTGGCCAAGGCCATCTAAACACACTACTCACAAGCTGCCAGCTACAGAGAAACAATGGGAAAGCGAGAGAGTAGGTGTCATGTCAGCCACAAGGACGGATGCAACCGTGTGTGTCAGGGAGCCCTGATCTGGACCTGGATGGAATCCTGGTCCTGAGAGCCCCACAGACTCACTGCTGTGGTCCCGACACCACCACAGCCATTGGAGAATAAGTAGTGATGGCCAGGATTATCCGAGGGTATGGGCTTTGGTAACAGCCGTGGAGAGAGAAAGGCAGGCACCCTCCTCCTCTCCTTACAGGTGCCTTCCTGGGACCCTGCAGCAGCTCCCTCAAGGACTGTCACTGCCTGCCAAGGCCTGCCTGCCCTCTCTCCCGGGCCTCACCCAGCCACTGTTATCAGCTGGCTAGCAGAACAACAAATCACAACTTCACTTAGGAAACCCCAGACACTGCTGCTTCTCTCTCAGAGCACCCAAGGCAGACCCAGGAGGCCAGGCTGACCCCTCTGCAGTTTGTAAGTCTCTGTGAGGGCCTGAGCTGCCCTGGGAATGCCTGTCTCCTAGAGAGGGGAGTCCTGAGATCTCGGCAGGGTGCTAGGTGGATGACGTCTCCTACCCAGAACACAGCTTTCTGAGGCAGCTCAGAAGAAAGGAGTAGGCACAGGGGTGACTACCGTGATGGCAGGGTGGAGACAGACTTGGTACTGGGCTCATGTGCACTGAGCGAGACACTTTCAAAGTCTCCACTTCCCATGGGCTGTGATAAGGCCAGGCTGTCATTTAAGGCCAGCTGTCATTTCACGGAGTGGTTGCCAGTACTTCTGCTTCTGCGCTATGGAACAGCCAGCCAATGGGCTAAGGTGGGGGCCAGAGAAATCCACCCTAGCCAGGGACAGCGACTTGAACATGACTGCCGGTGGTAGAAGGGATGAAAATGAATTGTTCTTACCAAACCTGGAGAGACAAAAAGAACAAGGGGTGATGTCACCACACTGGCTCTACCTGTACCTGGAAAACTACCTGGTGATAGACTAGGTCAAAGCTGGACAAGGGTCAGAGACCTGGCTCTGTGTAAGCCCTGTTAGCTACCCAGCAAGGCATAGTTAACCCTTTTTTCACCACTGAGGAAACAGTAGCTTCCTCGGTTACGTGACCCATGGGGGTTGGGTGCCAAAGGTCCAGGAAGAGGGGCGTGGGTTGGTTTGTTAGAGAGGCAGGGAACTGGGGAGCTGAGCAGGGACTCAGCTGTACAGAGCCAAAAGGTGGATTCCAGGAAGGGTCAAGTAGGGACGTGCTCTGAGCAAGCCTGCTTTCTCCGCTGGAACTCCCAAAAAAGGCAGGGGGCTAGGGAAATGAGGACTTCCTGTTGCCCTGGGAGTTCACCAGGGAGCCTCTATCAGGGCAGAATCAGTGACAGGGTTTGAGGGGAATGGACTCAGAATCCTGAGGTCTGAAGGCAATGGTCCTGGTTTGAGGATCCCTATGCGAACATGGAACAAAGCCACTGCTCTTCTCAGGATGAATGAGAAACAAGGCCACCACGAGGTCCTCTCCAATGGACCATGCAGCAATGAGAAACAAGGTCACCGTGAGGTCCTCTCCAATGGACCATGCAGCAACTCTCCTATTCTCTACAGTTGCACCTGGTGACGTCGGGGCTTGGTTACACAGCTGGATGGGGGGCGCACAGAGGGATTTTTCTAGGTTTCTGCTCCATGATCAACAGTGCCAAGCATCTCAGCCACCCAGCGTCTGGCATGTAATGGGCCCAAGATAGGCGGCACGTGAGCAGAAAGGCAAGAGGGTCACCAAGGCCCTAGGAACCCTCTAGAAAAGGAGTTGTGTCACAGAAAAAAGGGTAATAAGAAAAAGAACACCCCCCCAAACCCAGCAAAACCCACAACTGTCTAAACACCCACCGGAAGGGTCACACTGACTAAGTTAAATGCTGGCATGCCACGAGGAGGTTTTTGGGTCAGGTTGCTTTGATTATTACAGATATTGGTAGTGGCGGTGAGGACACAGGGACACTTTTTATGGTGGTACCTCTACAGAGGTACCACGAGCCACCTTTGGGCCACGTGTAAATGCCATTTAAAGAGTTGTCATATCGTGTTGTTAAGAAACAGGGATATGAGAAAAACTGCAGGCACACACATTTTTCTCCCAGGTGTCTTTTATGTGTGCTGGAGATGGAAGTGTTCTATCACGAAAGCCCATCCCCAGCTCTTTCCCAATATTTTCAGTCCTTCAACAGTGGATCCTCAGATACAACCCATGAACACGGGGAAGGAACCTATTTAATTGCCAGTACACAACATCTAGAATTCTGTTTGGTCTGTCAGTGACCAGTAATGTTCTAGACAGGAGTTGTTTTGCTAGCCTATGAGAATCAAGTCTTTGGCATTTTAAGACATTGGAGATACAGGACTGGTTTGTTATTGTGGCCTAGGCTAGCCTATCCTGACGGATACATGGTACCATTTTATATATTTCTGTATGTACGGAAAGAGATCTGTTGGGATTGGGTCCAGCTGCAAAGGGATGGCCACCTATTTTTTCTCCACACTTCTATGTGGCTTGACTTTTATCAGTTCTTTGTATGTACCTAAGAGGAAGTCAGAGGGCAAAGGTACCTCACTGGGGAGACTTCATCGATTCGGTTTCCAAGCTGGGATTCGTGTGACTTGCTCCGCGTGAGTGTGGGGAAGTTGGGTAGCAGCTGGAAGACCTTGCGGCTCGGCGGTGGGGGTGTCCTCGGCGGCTTCAGCTTGGTGTGCCGTCGTAGCTGGGGTGTGGTAGGGGGTGTGATGAAGCTGTGCAGGGCCCGGGGGGTCAGCCGGCCGCTGGTGTGCAAGGGAATACAGGTGTCCGAGAGGCCCTCACTGAGGCCAGGAACTGGAGAGTCCGAGGCAGACAGGGCTGACACAGAGATGGAACGCGGGCCCTGAGTGCTGGCACCCACTCTGCCCAGTGGGGAGAGCATGTCCACCGAGGGCCCTGAACTGCTTTCCCGCTGTGCGTCTGCCGAACTCCAACCAGAGTCCTCTTTGTGCTCCCCTCCTGTGGGCCAAGGGGTCAGTCAGAAATACAAGGGACAAGGGTGCCATTACTATCAAAAGCACAGCACTTTGACTGAGGTAACAATGTTCCTCAGCGGCAGCACGCTCTGCTCCCAGCTTCTGGCTTGTCAGGGGCTCTCGTGCACCCAACAGCGCCTTCCACGGTACTCAGTTGACACAAGGGGGGATGCTGGGACACCCACCCCAGAGTGGGACATCAGAAAAAGAAGAGGTGACAGATCCTGTAGAAAGCTGAGGTATTAAGGAAGGGAAAATTTTGCTGTAGGCCAGTAGCTGGGTGGGGATGGGAAGGGGCACACACCTGTGATCCCACTATTCAGGGAGGTAAAGGTGGAAGGATCAGAAGTTCAAGGGCATCCTTGACTACATGGTGAGTTCAAGGTCAGTCTAGGCTACAGGAGACCCTGTTTCAAAAACCAAAAAGGAAAACAAGAAAAAAGTCTTCACACATCAGCTGGGTGTGGCGGTGCATGCCCGTCAGAGACCCTGCTTACAGGGTAAGACCTCGTCTCAAAAACAAAACAAAGCAGAACAAACTTTAAACAAAAGCCAAGAATTCAGCCAGGCTTGGTGGCACACGTCTGTACCACAGCACTCAGGGAGCTGACGTCAGAGGATGGTGAGCTCACGGCCAACACAGACTACATAGGAAGAAAAGACCAGAGACCGAGATGGCAACATTTCCCATCCTCCACAGCCCAACACTGAAAAGTACACCTGACCTTTAGTGACCCCTGGGGTTCACTTTGCCTTCACACAATCCCACCAGAGGGCAGCCATTCCCTTATTGTGCAAAAGAGGAACTGAGGCCCAGGATGTCTGAGCTCTCACCAGGTCCTGCTGGGTGCAAGCAAGATGCTCTGGCGGCTTGCGACCCTGGTGACCAGTGACGAAGTCATGTGCAACAACGGGAAGCTCAGGACCTATCTATCACAGGAATGCCAGAGAACTGCGAACGTTTGTGTACTGGCACAGTGAACCTCAGACATATCTAGTACCACACACACTCAGGTGCCGTCACTACTTAAGCCCTGCCCTTTGGGGGACAAAACACATCAGCTGGGCGTAGTGGTGCACTTGGGAGGCAGAAAGGTGGATCTCCGTGAGTCTGAGGCTAGCCTGGTCTACACAGGGATTCTAGGCCAGCCAGCACTACACAATAAGATCCTGCCTTAAAAATTTTAAATTATTTAAAATATATATATAATAGGGCCGGAGAGATGACTTAGCAGTTAAGAACACTGGCTGCTCTTCCAGAGGTCCTGAGTTCAATTCCTAGCCACCCCAAGGTTGCTTACACCATCTGCAATGAGATCTGGTGCCCTCTTCTGGCCTGCAGGCATACATGCAGATAGAACACTATTTTTTTTTTTAAAAAAACATACATAACAAACAATTATTTTTAAAAAATAATAAAGCCGGGTGCCTCCCTTTTCAGCCTTAGGGGGACGGAGCTGAAGCAGGTAGCTCAGATCTTTTAAACCTTTAAATGAGGCCTGCTTCCATTCATTAGCTCATTTCAGTGCCTTCTCTGGGTGGTGGTGGGAATGAACTGTTTCCAAGGGAAGACATAGAATGTCCGTGAATAATCCCTGGGAGATTGTAGTAATGGCGGATTACGCATGGCCTGGGGCCTGGGCACACACCCGGAGAAGAAGCTGTAGATTTCTCATAACTATGCCGGGCTCAGGCTACACTGATACCAGAGGGCTCTTGTGAGCAGAGAGCCGGAGTAGCCCACAAGAACAGGAGCAACAGGGGAACTGTTTCGCAGAGGGGGGCTGGAATGCAGGAAGCGAGCGGAGGGGTCGGAGCAACACAGATGCCTTCCTGTGTGTGGGGGAGGCCTGTCATACAGGGCCTGTCCTAAAAGCCAACTAGGATTCCTAACAATGGCTGACGCTTCCTAGGTCAGACTGGCCAGAGCAACTGGGCTCCAAGGCCCTGGAGACTCTGAGAGGCTCCCTCAGGGCCAAGCCCTACCATACTACTTTCTCAATAGTCCCACCAAAGCTTTCTCAGAAACCCAGAAGCATCTCCCTCTCTACGTCCCAAGGCCCACTTGAGCAGAAGTCCCATCTCCCAGGGAGCTGGCCAGGCCTGGGCGTGTGGGCAGTAACAGAGGCCTGGGGGAGGGAAGCAAGCCTTTCTTACCCAGGCCGGTCACCTTCCGAAGGCAGTTGAGAGCTTGCTGTAGCCGGCTACACTCCTCAGGGCTGGCCCCCCAGCGCCGCAGCATCTCCTTCGCCTTAGACTCGTTCATCTCCAGCAAGGCATCCAGTGTTAGCTCTTGGGGAATCTCCTGGGGGCACAGAAGGGTCAGGAAGAAAAGCTGAGGAGCTGTGAGGGAGTTTCAGCCCTTTGCTCTGCAGGACAGGCCTCCCAGCTGAGTGGCAGGAGCCAGCTGCTGGCTGAGCCCCTGACTAGAAGCCACCACTTGTCAGGGACATAAGTAGAACTCTCCGCCCTCAGTCTCCCAGAGACAGCAGCTGAAGAGGAGTGCCACCTTTGGGCTGGGGCTACGGGGAGGAAGAAAGCACCAGAAAGGTCTGGATGGGGACTCGCCACCTCTCCCCCCCTCTCTTAACTCTTTGGTACAGAAAAATTGGCAACTGTGACACCTTTGGTAGCCCTTCCCAACTTGATTGTGTCTGGATCATACAAGAGAGATCTCCGACTAAATGCCTTGAATAAGTATAACACAATGAAAAGAGCCCTGGCTAGAAACTGCAGAGGCGCTCGCTGACTTGCATTCAAGTCAGTCAAGGTAGGTCGGCTGACCAGCCATGGGCCTGCCTGCTAATCCCATCTGCTTGAGAGGCTGAAGCAGGAGGATTCTAAATTCAAAGCTTGCCTGGATTAGAAAGGGAAGTCAAGGCCAGAAAGACTGTGAAGGCTGAGGCTGTAGGTCTGTTGGCAGAGTGTTGCCTGCCATGCACAAAGCCCTGGGTTCTCATCCTGGCACTGCACAAATCAGGCCTGGTGGCACATGTCTATAATTCTAGGTCTTTTTTGTTTTTTGGGGAGGGGGGTTTCGAGACAGAGTTTCTCTGTAGTTTTGTAGCCTGTCCTGGAACTCGCTCTTGTAGACCACGCTGGCCTCGAACTCACAGAGATCTGCCTGCCTCTGCCTCTTGAGTGCTGGGATTAAAGATATGCGCCACCACTACCTGGCCTATAATTCTAGCTCTTAGGAGGTAGGGGCAGAAGGATCACAAACTCAAGGTCATCCTTGTCTACATAGAAGTCTGCGGCCAGCCTGGGTTACGTAAGACTGTCTTAAAGGGGGGTAGGGGTTGGAGAAGCAGGGCTGGATGTGTAGCTCAGTGGTGGAGCATTTGCAGATTGCTGGTTCACATTACATCTAGAGAATGAGCCTCAAAGGGCTACACTGCTAGACAAAAACCCTTGTGGGGCACCCCAAGATGGAGCGTGTCTTGTCTGTAAACTTGATGACTCAAGTGTAATCTCCGGAACCCAGACAGGAGAGAACTGACTCCACAGTGATGTTCTCTGACCCTGTACATACACATGTAGTGTGTGCTTGTGCACAGACCATACAAGCATTAATACTATAATGAACTTTCTTTAAAAAGCTATTATTGGGCCAGCAAGATGGTTCAGCAGGTAGGAGTAACTTGAGGTCGAACAGGACATGAGTTTTCTTCTTCTTTTTTTTTTGTGTTTTTTGTTTTTGTTTTTTGAGACAGGGTTTCTCTGTGTAGCCCTGGCTGCTCTAAAATTCACTTTGTAGACCAGGCTGGCCTCAAACTCACCGAGATCCCTCTGCCTTCCGAGTGCTGGGATCAAAGGGTGCACCACCACATCTGGCTAAATTTCACTCTTGGATCCCATGAGGTTGCAGGAGAGTGATCATTTGATTTATACATGTATGCTGTGCTTTGCCCAAATCTGCAGACACACAGATCCACACAGACACACAATCTCCTCGGGGGTGAAAGGAAAAGTGGCTAGACAAGATTGTTGTCCTGTTTGGAGTAAAAGAAGGTCTCGCTCTATAGACAAGGCTGGCTTTGAACTCACAAAGATCTCCCTGCCACTGTTTCCCAAGTGCTGAGATTACCACTATGCCTGGCTTTAGAAGGGTCTTTGGGTTTGTTTTTTAAATATTAATTTTTATTTTCTGTGTGTTTTGACTGCATGTATGTCTGTGCACCACTTGTGAGCACTGTCCACAGAGGTAAGAAGAGGACACTGGATCCCCTAAAATTGGAGTTACAGACAACTGTGAGCTGCTGGGTGCTGAGAATTGAACCTGGGTCCTCCGGGAAAGCAGCCAGTGCTCTTAGCCAGTGAGCCATCTCTGCATCACCCTTAGAAGTGTTTTAAGATGACCCTGTGAGTTCTACCTCCTGGTGCCATTCCTTACTACATTATATGGCAGCACTCAAAAGCCCTTTGGTTAACCTGAGGAAGTCGATTTAAGAAGAACTCCTGTAGACGTTGGAGATGGAGGGTCACCTGAGAAGGAATTTGGGAGGCTTCTCCAGTGGCTGATGCCCAACGAGAAATCAGAAACCCAGGCCTGAATGACATTCCCCAAATGCAATGCTTTGGCTAGGTAATTTGATGGAAATGAACTAAACGGCCTCAGAAGCAGGCTCAGAATCCAGGGCCTCTCACCTGGCCTTGCTCAGCGGCATTATTAGCCACTGTTGCCTCTGTCCCACCTAAAACCCCACCATCCGCCACAGAAAAAATGACCAGGGACAGAAGCCACCGACCTGCCTCTCCTCTGCAAGATGATGCTGGTCCCTTGGGCTCACTTAAATTCCAAAAAGTATCATTTTACATGCAGCTGTTTTTCTGCCTCAGACCATTCACTGCCCTAACTATGAGCAAGGGCCTCTCAAAACTGCCCACGCCCCTCCCTTCTTTGCAGAAACACAAGGTAACTTTAGGATCGTGTGGCCACTGGGGACAATTGGATGGCATCTGTGTGTGTAAATATGTTCTTTGTTTTTTGTTTGTTTTGCTTTGTTTTGTTTTAATCCCATTTCACCTTTGCCAGTTTATTCCAAGGGCCTGTGAAAGGGCAGAGGGAAAATTTTCTTCTGTCCCTAAAGTCACCTAAAGAAACTGGATTCTGCGATCAACCTAAATATACTTGGAATGGATCCTTTCCCCCAAAGTTTCCAGAAAAGAGGCTAGCTAGCCTGGCTGACATCTTATTTGGCTTTGTAAGAGCCTATGCAAGGAGGGTTGCAACACTGGCCTGGGGCTGGGCCATCATCCTCCTCCCCTTACAGAGCTGTGAACTTACGCAGAGGTGGAGCCTGAAGGTGCTAAATGGGACCCAGCATTAGAAACTCATACAAAGCATGAACATTGAGTTAGACTCGGTCTCAAAGCTGGACCTTTTCTCCCACCCACAGACTGACTCTCTCTCTCTCTTCTCTCACTTTCCCCCTCTCACTTTCTCTGAGGTGTATGGAGGGGGGGGGGAGCTGGGGGTTGAGTAAATAAGCAATTATTGTGAACTAAGGTACAAACAGGTACTGGGAGCCCGTAACCAGCTACATGACTGGACGGGCCATCTGCATCTTCATCGTCTTTCTCAGCCTCCTTGTAAAACTTTTCACGTTTCCCGGAACTGGAATGGCCGCACATCCCACAGCAAAAGTGGAGAAAGCGGGAAGTGATTTTCAAGGGCTCTGAGGGCAACCTGTATGTATCTAGTTTCTGTGTTTTCTTGGGACAGGGCTACATTGTATCTCATCTGGAACTCATTTTGTAGCTCAGGGTGGCCTCCCAGCCCCAGGTGACCTTCCAGCTTCAGATTCCCAAGAGCTGGGCTACAAGCCTGAACCACTACACCCAATTCAAATTTTATTTCAAAAGACTGAATTCACTGTCAGGGAATCTACAGTGCTGCGAATCTTAGACTCAAGTATCAAACTGACCTGCTTAAGTCCTCCTCCCACAACACCTGAGGCAGGTACATGTACCTCAGCAGTGGTTTCTCCACTCCCAGGACTCTGGCAAGACTCACAACAGTGTTTACAACAATCCCCACCACAGTGAGAAAGAAACACACAAAACCAAGAAATATCACCACCGCTGGTCAGACAAACTCTCGGCTGTCAGAAATCCTTCCAGCCCATCACAGGAAAACCCACAGGAAACCGCTGCCGAGAGCAGCGTAGGGGGGTGGTGATTAAAAACGGGTTCCCACATGGGAGCTTTGCCCCCTGCCCGCTTTGATTCCCCAGCAACTGTTCTTCAGCGCAGTGCAGCTTGGGCATCCTTCCCCTTCGTTCTGCCATGGAAAGAAGCCTGACCAAATTGTTGTGACAGGGACAGGTGACCTTTGCCTCCCCACAACGGCACTCAACCAACAGCTGGGTGGGACACAGCACACACCTGTAATCCCGGTTCGGAAAGCATACAAGAGGATCTTAAATCTGAGGTCAGCCAAACCAAGAGACAACTACACAAAGCAATGCTCTACCTTGGATGGTACATCCTCAGTCGGTCACCCACAGGCACCCATGCATGGCTACGCACCCACAAGCACGCCCTCTGTCAAGAACGCTGACTCAGCAGCTTCGGGGAAGATGAGAGACATGGTGGCCATGATGGCGTCAGGCACGGCAGCCCCAACCTCCAGCTTGACTAGAAAGCTAATAGGAAGGGCTCTTTTTATCTTTCATTTTTACCCCCCTTTCATCAACTATGCCCTTTCAATTTCTCAAACAAAATAATTATGTTCATTACGACCTTTCATTTGCCAGTACGGTATGCCCACCACCTTGTGTGTGCTGTCTCCACTTGAGCCAACTCAAGAAGTCCATGCCACTCAGTCCACAAGTTAAGTCTGAAGAGCTCACGTGACTTATATGGCAGCCTATCAGAAGCCAGAGCTCCTGTCACGGTCCCACACTGCCGACTGCTAACCTGGAACTCAGAAGCTCCCATCTCGGGCTACTTTCAAACAGCCTACGTTCCAACAGAACCACCTAGTAACCTGGACGATCCTTTGTTCTTTAGCCAAGCAAATTAACTTTTCTGGAAAGTGAAAATAATATGCTTAAATCCCCTTCCCTAATACATAAAAAAATGTAAAAAGAAAAAAGGATTGCTTTATAGCTTCAAATTTAGCTATAAAGAAAAAGTATCTCACTGTACTGAAGCCTGTGGATCTGTGCCTCCCTGAACAAGGCAGAAGTGTGGCCTTTCCCTTGCCCCTACTCTTCAGGATTTGATTCAAATCAGTGCTAAAAAATGGGCGAGGTCAAAGTGGGGCAGCAGGGGTGCTGGAGAAGCCCCATTAGAACCCCC